CTGAGATGTAGACTGCCGACTTGGAACAAGAGGAGGAGATAGCCATATCTTAGCAACCTGGTAAATGGCTTCTACCTTGGGGATGTTAGTATCATAATCTGGGAAACTGCCGAAATGCTAGAACACAAATGCAAGGAGTGCAAAAAGCATGACGAGATCAAGCGTGGTGGCTCACACCTATAATCCCAGCACTTTGGGAGGCTGAGGTGGGCAGCTTGCTTTAGGCCAGGAGTTTGAGACCAGCCTGGCCAACAAGGCAAAAACCCATCTCCACTAAAAATTACAAAAGTTAGCCGGGCATGGTGGTGCATGCCTGTAATCTCAGCTACTCAGAAGGCTGAGGCAGGAGAATCGCTTGAACCTGGGTGATGGAGATTGCAGTGAGCCGAGATTGTGCCACTGCACTCCAGCCTGGGTGACAGAGTTAGACTCTGTCTCAAAAAGAAAGCATGACTAATTCCCCTAAAGAAGTAATTTTATGGTCAGGCGCAGTGGCTCATGCCTGTAATCCCAGCACTTTGGGAGGCTGAGGCGGGTGGATCACGAGGTCAGGAGATCAAGATCATCCTGGCCAACATGGTGAAACCCCCTCTCTACTAAAAATACAAAGAATTAGCCGGGTGTGGTGGCGGGTGCCTGTAGTCCCAGCTACTCAGGAGGCTGAGGCAGGAGATGGCATGAACCCGGGAGGTGGAGCTTGCAGCGAGCCGAGATTGCACCACTGTACTCCAGCCTGGGTGACAGAGCGAGACTCCATCTCAAAAAAAAGAAAAAAAAAGAAGTAATTTTATCATTAATTGACTCCTTGTACATGATATTCATTTGTCGCAGGCATCTGAAACATGTTCCCTCTTCCCTGTGCCATGCCTCTGCAAATATGTGAACACAGTTATCAAACCTCCCTGAAATTCTTTCTTCTTCTTGCCAAATATCTCTAGTTGTTTCAAATGTTAATTTTAGAACAGGATTTCAGACTCCTTGGGAGTGAATCTGTCCTCCAGCATTTAGTTTATTCTACCAAAGCCTCTTTTACATAGAGTATCTGAATTATTAGTCCAATTTTAAGGGGTGAGGATGGGGAATTATATATATTTATATACTTATAAATATTTGTATTTATATACTTACATATAAATATATGTATTTATATAATGTATATAAATATGTAAATATAAAAATAACTTATATTTATATGATAAATTTACATATATGTATATATAATGTTATATCAGGTATAATGTATACTTATATATAAATTCTAATAATGTATTATACATAATATAAATATAGATATGGCAGAGGATAATAGGTACAATGTGCTTCTATTTCCTAAAGGAAGTAGTCAAGAAGATTTAACCCTCCTGGCCAGGCACTGTGGCTCACACCTGTAATCCCAGCACTTTGGGAGGCCGAGGTGGGCAGATCACCTGAGGTCAGGAGTTTGAGACCAGCCTGGCCAAGATGGTGAAACACCGTCTCTACTACAAATACAAAAATTAGCCAGGCGTGGTGTTGAACGTCTGTAAGCACAGCTACTTGGGAGGCTGAAGCAGGAGAATGGCGTGAACCTGGGAGGCGGAGGCTGCAGTGAGCCAAGATCACACCATTGCACTCCAGCCTGGGCGATGAGAGTGAAACTGTCTCAAAAAAAAAAAAAAAAAAAAAAAAAAAAAAGTCATGCACAGTGGTGCGCCCCTGTAATCCCAGCTACTTGGGAGACTGAGGCAGGAGAATCGCTTAAACCCAGGAGGTGGAGGTTGCAGTGAGCCGAGATTGTGGCCACTGCTCTCCAGCCTGGGCAACAGAGGGAGACTCTGTCTCAAAAAAAAAAAAAAAAAAAAAAAAAAAAATCGACCCCTCTTTATTAAGGCATATTAGGAAGCTGCCAGCCTGATTTGGCCCAGTGACTTCCCTGCCACTAAATATGTAAGCAGAAGAAGACTAACAGAATTCCAGAATAATTATTTTTGGAGTTATGAGTTACAGGCATCTAGAAAGAAAAGTATCGTGACTTTTCCTTCCCTCCACGTTAAACTGGGAGTGAAAAACATGAGTATCTACAGATGTTTAAAGTCACAGAATAGTTAGTGCCATGTGGTACTTCACAGATGGCATCTGAGCTGATATTCACAACAACCCTGGGGCAAGTTGGGGAACCATCACTGCACTGCTAAGAAGCTGAAGTGACTTGTATTAATCACAGGGAGGAATCCAGACTTGAACCCAGGTCTCTTTGGCTCCAGAGCTCTGGGCATTTCCACTTTACTACACTCCCAGGATAATAAGGGTTGGGAGAGACTGGGAGGAAGAGCATAAGGGCAGGGGACATAGCTTTTGGAACGTAGGATGCCGAAGTTACTAGTTGATTACCTATTTGAAATGCCCTGAAAACACCTGAATGCAAATCCACTCACAAAGGAAACTGATGAGGCAGTCCGGAAGATGTACTTGAATGAATATGGATATAATTTTGCTTATTTTACTATGAAATACTACTGTATTAGTCTACTGTGGTTGCTGTAACAAAATATCACAAACTGGGTGGTTTAAAACAACAGAAATTTATTCTCTCACAGTTCTGAGGACCAGAAGTCCAACATCAGTATCATGGGACTGAAATCAAGGTGTCAGCAGGGCCACACTCTTTCTGGGAGCTTTAGGGGAGAATCCATTTATGCCTCTTTCAGCTGCAGGTGGCCACTGGCATCTTTTGGCTCATAGCCATATTACTCAAATCTCTGCATTCATGGTCTTACTGCCTTCTCCTCTTCTATCAGTTTCAAATCTCCCTCTGGCTGTCTCTAACAAGGACATTATTAAGGGCCCAACTGGATCATCCAGAATTCTCTCCCCATCTTCAGAGCCTTAAATGGATCACATCTGAAAAGACACAATATTTACAGGTCCCAGGGATTAGGACCTGGGATATTTGGGTAGCCATTATTCAGCCTACTACAACCGTATTTCTACATTTTCCCTTTTTATTCTATATTACATCATTTATTAGTACAAAAGTAATAGGTGTTTGCTATAGAGAATTAGAATATGCAGGTTGGGCATGGTGGCTCCTGCCTGTAATCCCAGTACTTTAGGAGGCCAACAAAGGCAGATCACTGGAGACCAAGAGTTCAAGACTAGCCTGGTCAACATAGCAAAACCCTGTCTCTACTAAAAATACAAAAAATTAGCCATGGTGGTGGCCCACACCTGAAATTGAGAGGCTGAAGCACAAGAATTGCTTGAGCCTGGGAGGCAGAGGTTGCAGTGAGCCAAGATTGAGCCAATGCACTCCACTCTAGCCTGGGCAACAGAACGAGACTCTGTCTCAAAAAAATAAATAAATAGGCTGGGCACGGTGGCTCACGCCTGTAATCCCAGCACTTTGGGAGGCTGAGGTGAGCGGATCATGAGGTCAGGAGATCGAGACCACGGTGAAACCCCATCTCTACTAAAAAATACAAAAATTAGCCAGGCACAGTGGTGGGTACCTATAGTCCCAGCTACTTGGGAGGCTGAGGCAGGAGAATGGCGTGAACCCGGGAGGCAGAACTTGCAGTGAGCTGAGATCTGGCCACTGCACTCCAGCCTGGGCGACAGAGCAAGACTCTGTCTCAAAAAAAATAAAAATAAATAAATAGATAAAAACAAATAAATAAATAAATAAAATTAGAATATACAGATAAGCCAAAGGAGGAAATATAAAATTGCCTATAATTGTATTCCCCAGCAATAAGCACCGTGACTATTTTGGTGGCTGTCTTTGCAGTTTTTTTCTCTTGAACATATGTTTATATGTAGGCTTCATTACAATTTAAAAATCTAGCTGATAGGGTAGCCCTCAATCTCACTTCAGAGAAGCCCACCTCACAAGTTAGGAAACACTGACACTGATGCCCCCTTAGAAAACCCAGGATGTAGACATTTATTTGTGGGGAAGCTTTGATATCCCTCTATGGCAGATAGGCTACTGTCAGAATGCTCTTTTTGAAATAAGAAGTTACATAACATAAAGACAGAGGAAAGAGTATGCAAGAATGTCATCCTCAAGAGAAGTGCAGAGAGATTTCTTCATTCCTCATCTGAGTATAAGCGGGCCTCCTGGAGTCTGTGAACACAAGTGTTCAATGTGAGTGTGCCCTTGTGAGCCCCTGGCTGTTTATACTCCAGAAGGTGTCCCCGTGCATCATCGGTGGAGTGGACAAAAACTGGTGATCCATTTGCCCTGTGTGACCTTGCCCAGCACCCTGCTGACTGAGAGTACACATCTGCTGGAAGTCCTCTGGGCTTCAAGGTACAGAGATAAGTATGACCTTGACTGCAGTAGCAATATGCTTTAGCCAACTAAGTTGGCTCATTTCATTTACCGCTCTATCTCCCATGGTTGAGCATTAAAATACATGTTGGGACTGGGTGAGGTGGCTCACGCCTGTAATCCCAGCACTTTGCGAGGCCAAGGCGGGCAGATTATCTGAGTTCAGGAATTTGAGACCAGCCTGGACAACATGGTGAAATCCTGTCTCTACTAAAAATACAAAAATTAGCTGGGCGTGGTGGTGCACGCCTGTAATCTTAGCTACTGGGAGGACTGAGACAGGAGGAACGCTTGAACCTGGGAGGCAGAGGTTGGAGTGAGCTGAGATCGTGCCACTGCACTCCAGCCTGGGTGACAGAACAAGACTCTGTCTCAAAAAAAAGGAAAGAAAGAAAGAAAGACAGAAAGAGAAAAAAAAATACATGTTGGATGTTCAAAAGACTTTGTTTCATTTTAAGGCATAGAATAAATAACTGAACAGCAATAGAATTCCTATGTTGTGAACAAACAGGAAACAAATGAGCAATTCCTTTCTTGAGGGAATTTCTAGCTCTTGCATCCTTAACTCTGAAGTCCTACTTCTTCCCCAGCTACACCCATCTTCCCTTTCTGAACTGGTAGAACTTGTGTCCAAACCACTCTTATTGTGCTTTGAAAAAAAAAAAAGGAATTGCTCAGCAGTTTCCCTCTCTGTGCACTCTCCTTTCACAGAACAAGAAGGCATCTGGTCTACAAGAACTCGAGACCTCACTGAAACGGAAAGCAAATACAAAGAAACTTTATTTTAAAAACGTGTCTTGGTCCGCCCAAGAAGAGGGCAATTGGATTGCTCAGCCAGGTACTGTGGGTAGAGAGAAAGGGATTTTTAAGGTCTGGGACCCAAATATTAAAACCTGGGTTTACATTCATTTAAATTTTGTGTCTGGGATGTACAAAAGCCTTAACATTGACGAGTGTGGTTTGCATGACTGGCGGGATTTCCTGCCGAGAAACCTTTAGGGGTGGTTAATTGGGTCTGCTGGGGTTTCATCAGGTTCAAGGGGTACATGTACCCCTTGGACTACTGTGAGATGGAAAGGACTTTGAAAACACTTTTTGGCATTACAGAAAGGAAACTCACCCTTTTGTTTTGTTTTGTTTTGTTTTTGAGACAGAGTCTTGCTCTCTCACCCAGGCTGGAGTGTAGTGGCGTGATCTCAGCTCACTACAACCTCTGCCTCCTGGGTTCAAGCAATTCTCCTGCCTCAGCCTCCCGAGTAGCTGGGATTACAGGCACCCGTCACTGTGCCCTGGCTAATTTTTGTATTTTTAGTAGAGACAGGGTTTCACCATGTTGGCCAGGCTGGTCTCAAACTCCTGACCTCGTGATCTGCCCACTTCGGCCTCCCAAAGTGCTGGGATTACACGTGTGAGCCACCGCGCCCGGCCAAGAAACTCACTCTTGTTGCTAAGACTGTTGTTAGAATCATAGATGATCAAAGCTGAAAGGAACCAGGTAGACTACTTAGTCCATCCAATCTCCCGAGTTACTGATGAGAAACCTGGTATTTGGAGACAGAAGTGAAAGAAATCACCCTTTACGGGACACCTATTTCGTGATAGGGTCTTTACGTACATTATCTCAGTTGATCCTTGCAGCCTGGCTTTGAGAGGTGGAAAATGTGGTAGAGAGGAGTTAAATGTCCTGCCCTACATCACACTGCTAATTGTCTACAAAACTAGGATAGAACCAGTTAGCACACTTCTTAACAGTTCACACACTTCTATAATACTAGTCGTATTAATTTGTTTAAAATACCACAGACTGCGTGGCTTAAACAACAGAAATTTGTATTCTCACAGTTCTGGAGGCTGGAAGTCCAAGATCAAGGTGTCAGCAGGGTTAGCTTCTCCCCACACCTCTCTCCTTGGCCTTTTCTCTCTGTATGCACATTCTGGCATCTCCCTTTGTGTGTCCCAATTTCCTCTTCCGTCACAGCCTCTTTTCAGCTTAACGACCTCTTTAAAGGCCCTGTCTCCAAATACAGTCACATTCTGAAGTTCAGGGCTTCAACATATGGATTTGGGGGAAGCCCAGTTCAGCACATAACACTATTATTAACATGTGAGATTGCTGAAGCCTATTAAAGACCTGAGAACATTCTAGTCTAGAGCCTTTTCACTAGAAAGGAAGACAGATAACACCCACTGACCACCTTTATCACAACTACTTTCATGTTTAATCTTCACAACAGTCCAAGGAGGTGGATATTAAAGCAAGATTTGGAAAGACTAAGTAACATGTCTAGGGATACTTACCTCATAAGCTGCAGAGTGAGGATTTGAATTCAGATCTGCAATGCCAAAGCACACACATTTTCCATTTTCGTGTGCTTCCTGTCTGCTCCTAATTATATGTACTCTTTCCCTTATTTTATCCGTGAGGTGTGGGAATGACCCCATAGACGTGGGTTATATTGGTCCAGAGAAACTTCAGGTCTTTGAGGAGCTCATGTAACCATTCGTAAGAAACTGCCAATTTTAGAATTAGTTCTAAATACTATTTTCCAGCCAGGCACAGTGGCTCATGCCTGTAATCCCAGCACTTTGGGAGGCCGAGGTGGGCAGATTGCCTTAGCTCAGGAATTCACGACTAGCCTGGGCAACATGGTGAAACCCCGTCTCTACTAAAATACAAAAAATTAGCCAGCCATACTGGCATGCGCCTGTAGTCCCAGCTACTCGCGAGGCTGAGGCAGGAGAATCGCTTGAACCTGGGAGGTGGAGGTTGCAGTAAGCCGAGATCGTGCCACTGCAGTCCAGCTTGAGAGACAGAGTGAGACTCCATCTTTCTCTCTCCTCGCTCTCTCCTTCTCTCTCTCTTTCTCTGTGTGTGTGTGTATATATATATGTTATATATATTATATATATTATTTTCCAATGTACAAATGTGGGGAAAGGACTTCTTCCACCCAATTCAGTTATTCACTGGACAGCTTGTGGGGAGGGGTTGCGAGGCCATAGCTACATTCCAGGGGAGTACACAGGTCGAAGTCCTAATCTTTTTTTTTTTTTTTTTCTGAGACGGAGTCTCTCTCTGTCACCCAGGCTGGAGTGCAATGGTGCTATTTTGGCTCACTGAAACCTCTACCTCCTGGGTTCAAGCAACTCTCCTGTCCCAGGCTCCCCAGAAGCTGCGATTACAGGTGTGTATCTCCACGCCTGGCTAATTTCTTGTATTTTTAGCGGAGACGGGGTTTCACCATGTTGGCCAGGCTGGTCTCAAACTCCTGACTTCAGGTGATCTGCCCTCCTTGGCCTCCCAAAGTGCTGAGATTACAAGCATGAACCCCCACGCCCAGTCCACAGCCCTGTTCTGCATGCCAGTGGGTAACTGAGAAAAATTACATGAGCTTCAGTGTATGGGTTGATTTTGTTCTTGAGAGCAATTAAAAACTTTATACTTCTTAGCTCCTTCCTCTATCTTCTTCCTCTTTTTCTACTCTTACTTAAACTTTGACCCAGTCAGGGATGGGCTGATTCTTCCCAAACCCACCCCTTTTTGGGGAAGTAGAAAGGGAAAGAAGAATCTATAGTTGCTGCTATTCACTGAGTCCTTCTTGTGTGCCAGTCACTACGCCTTGTTTGAGGACTCTTAGCGTGTCAGTGGTAAAGCTGTAGTTTGAACACAATCCTGACACCAAAATGTGCCCTGGCTTAGCTTATGCTCCTGAGCTGCCCCCATTTCTTTTCTTTCTTTTTTTTTTTTTTCTTTTTCTTTTTTTTTTTTTTTTTTTTTTTTGAGACAGAGTCTCCCTCTATCACCAGACGGAGTGCAGTGGCGCAATCTCGGCTCACTGCAACCTCCACCTCCAGGGTTCAAGTGATTCTCTTGCCTCAGTCTCCCGAATAGCTGGGAGTACAGGCACCCGCCACCACGCCTGGCTAATTTTTGTATTTTTAGTAGAGACGGGGTTTCACCATGTTGGCCAGGATGGTCTCAATCTCTTGACCTCATGATCCACCTGCCTTGGCCTCCCAAAGTGCTGGGATTACAGGCGTGAGCCACCACACCTGGCTGCTCCAATTTCAATGACAATTTTTTTATATTGTTAATGAATTAGTTTTAACATAAAAGGGAAATTTTATTTTCTGAAAACAGATATGCTTTTGAAGCAGCATCATTGTCTGGGGTAAATACCCGATGTTCGTTGTCTCACACCAAGTGAATCAAGGATATAGACACACAAAAAGAGAGTTTGAGAGTGGAGTTCGAGAGTGGAGGTTTAGGCCGGGCACGGTGGCTCACACCTGTAATCCCAGCACTTTGGGAGGCCGATGGGGGCGGATCACGAGGTCAGGAGATAGAGACCATTCTGGCCAACATGGTGAAACCCAGTCTCTACTAAAAATACAAAAATTAGCTGGGTAAGGAGGCATGCACTTGTAATCCCAGCTATTTGGGAGGCTTAGACAAGAGAATTGCTTGAACCCAGGTGGCAGAGGTTGCAGTGAGCTGAGGTCGCACCACTGCACTCCAGCCTGCCTATAGAAGAGTGCAAAGCAACACCACCAGCAGCAGCAGTAGCTGTGATAGCTATAAGCTCTATGATCACAGCTATTAAAGTAAATATGAATCTCTTTGATCTATTAAGTATTCCTTTTAGTACTTCAGTGATAATATGTATGAAGGGAGAGGCCTCCCAAGTTCTATTGAGGGAAACAGGTATCCAGACTCCTTCTCGGATCCTTACCAGTAAAATGTTATCTTTATTAAAGGTAATGAAAAAAAAAAGAAAGAAAGTGGAGGTTTAATAGGGGAAAGAAAGAGAAAAGAGAATAGCTCTCTCTCCTGCAGAGAGAGAGGGGAACCTGAGTGAGAGGTTTTGTTGTGAAATGCACGTTTTTTTTGTTTTGTTTTGTTTTGTTTTGTTTTTGTTTTGTTTTTTTTGAGACAGAGTCTTGCTCTGTTGCCCAGGCTGGAGTGCGGTTGCACCATCTTTGCTCAGTGAGCTCTGCCTCCCGGGTTCAAGCAATTCTCCTGCCTCAGCCTCCTAAGTAGCTGGCATTACAGGTGCCCACCACTGCACCTGGCTAATTTTTGTAGTTTTTAGTAAAGACGGGGTTTCACCGTGTTAGCCAGGATGATCTCAATCTCTTGACCTCGTAATCCGCCCGCCTACGCCTCCCAAAGTGCTGGGATTACAGGCGTGAACCATTGCACCCAGCCAATAAATTGTAGTATTTTATACAGTAGAGTACTACTAAGCAATGAAATGTTATAAACTACTTATACTACAAGCAACAGCATGAATGACTTACACAGACGTTGTGTGGAATTAAAGGAGTAGCACATGCTGTATGATTCCGTTTATGTGAAGTTCTTCAACAGGCTAAACTAATTTATGGTTTAAAAAAATCAGAATGGAGATTGCCTGTGAGGGTACGGTGGAGACGGAATTTGACTGGGAAGGGGCATGGGATACTTTCCAAGGAGAGGGCAGTGTTTTCTGTCTTGATAGGTGTTTGAAGAAGAAGCATTTTTCAGCTCATCAAAGGGTACAGTTAAAATCTGTGCTTTCACTGTAGGTGAATTTTTCCTAAGAAAGAATAATAAAGAATAAAGAATAAGAATAATAAAGAATAATAAACCAGCATTGAATTCTACTTAATTATATGGACGTAGAAATGTGCTAACATCTGCAACTTACATAAATTGATAAATGAATAGAGGGATGGATTTTCTCTATGTGTGAAAATGTTCATAATAAAATGTTAGGGTAATGACCAGACGTGGTGGTTCACGCTTGTGATCCCAGCATTTTGGGAGACTGAGGCAGGCAGATCACTTTAGCCCAGGAGTTTGAGACCAGCCTGGGCAACACGGCAAGCCTCTGTCTCAAAAAAAAAAAAAAAAAAAAAAAAGAAAGAAAGAAAAAAAATGAGCCAGGCATAGTAGCACACACCTGTGGTCCCAGTTACTCAGGAGGCTGAAGTGGGAGCCCAGAAGGTTAAGGATGCCGTGAGCCATGATCAGGCCACTGCACTCCAGCCCGCGTGACAGAGTGAGACCCTGTCTCAAAAAAAGAGTTTTAATGTTAGGATAACATGAGTTCCCATGCCAATTCCATTCACATGAGTTCCCAAGCCAACTCCATTCACATACCCCAATCCCACTCACATAGCTCCCCTTTTGTTTCTCCCCACCCAGTGATTCTAGTTCTCTTCCCCACTTCCTGTCTGCCCTCTCATACTGCCTTTAATTCAGACTTTGCATCTTCATCCTGACGCAGGGGGTCGTGTATGTGTGTATGAGGAGCCGGGGTAGATCATCTAGCTTGGTTTGGGAATGCACACAGAGCAGTCTCAGAGGCTTCTGGGCCCCTGCTTCTCAGAGTGTGTGGAGGGGAAAGGGAGAAAGGAAGTTGCTTTTCAAACCATCTAGGAGGATGAAATGACAGGACCATACCAGGAAGATGAAATCCGTTTCTTAAAACATCACTTTAAACATGCTCCTCATAGCATAATCTCTCCCAGTTGCTCATAGGATAAAGAACAAATGCCTCATCTTGGCATACAAGGCTTTCCATAGCTTTTCCCCTTTGTACCCTGGAAGCATAACTCCTTTTTTCTGTCTCCTCAGGGAAGTGCAGGGAAGAGAAGGGCGGGTCCCAGAAGGGCGGGTCCCTGGCAAGGGCTCCACCCCCAGGCCTGTGCCCACGAACCTAGGTGAGGACAGGCACTCCTGCCTTGGAGCCCAAATGTTGCATTTCCCAAGACCACCCTGGCCTGCCACACCGTCATCCTATGCGTATAAAAATCCCAGAGACCCTAGCAGGCAGATACACAAGCAGCTGGACGTCGAGAGGACACTGAAGGGCGAATGCTGGCGGAAGAGCACACAACAGACCCTGGCACGCCAGCAGGGCATCCGCCAGAGGAAGGACGCGGAGTTTGGTGGGGAGTGTTGGAGAAGAGTCGGTGGCAGTCTGACTCCAGGGAAAAACCATCTCCCTTCTGGCTACCCCATCTGCTGACAGCTTCTTCCAGTCAATAAAACCTTGCACTCTTTCTCCAAGACCACGTGTGATCCAATTCCTCCAGTACACCAAGGCAAGAACCCCAAGGCAAGAACCCCGGAATACAGAAAACCCTCTGTCCTTGCAATAAGGCAGGGGTCTAACTGAGCGAACACAAGCCGCCTACGGACAGCTAAACCGAAAGAGCACCCTGTAACACACACCCACTGGGGCTTCAGGAGCTGTAAACATTCACCACTAGACACTGCCGTGGGATTGGAACCCCACAGTCTGCCCATCTGTATGCTCCCCTAGAGGTCTGAGCAGCGGGCACTGAAGAAGCGTGCCACACCCCCATCGTACGCCCTGCAAAGGAGACAAGAGAACATTTCCCCTTTCCATACTCCCCGGTCTCATCCTCTCACCTGCAAGGCGTTTTACATCCTCACCTCCACCTCCACCCCAACCCAACTACCTCGCCTCATCTTACTTATCCTTTTTTTTTTTTTCCTTTTTGAGGCACAGTCTGTTTTTTCCTTTTTGAGGCACAGTCTCGCTCCGTCTGCCAGGCTGGAGTGCAGTGGCACTATCTCGGCTAACTGCAACCTCCGTCTCCCGGGCTTAAGTGATTCTCCTGCCTCAGCCTTCTGAAGAGCTGGGATTACAGGCGTGTGCCACCAGGCCCAGCTAACTTTTGTATTTTAGTAGAGATGGGGATTCACCATGTTGATCATGCTGGTCTCGAACTCCTTACCTCAGGTGATCCGCCTGCCTTGACCTCCCACAGCGCCCGGTCCTACTTATCCTTTAAGACCAGCTTCATGTGCTGTCTCCTCCATGAAAACTTCCTCCCTGGATGATTCCAGTCCGTATACTCTTTCTTGGAAATACCGGAGAGAACAGAGAGAACGTACCCTCTGCACCATTCATGTTGACACTTATACCGTCTTTTAACATTTAATTCCAAGTTGCCTTCTTGGCTCTGAACAGCAGAAACGAGAAGAAACTTTGAAGAGAAGGGCAAAGTTCCAGTTGAGCACAGTTTAGAGCTCTAGGCCAGGAGTCCAGACGCCTGGGTTCTCTTTAGGGCTTGGCCATGAATAGCCAGTGGCTTTGAGCAAGTTTTTATCTGGTTTGAGTCACCATTTTCTTATCTATGAAAAGCAGGGCATTACTTAGTTAATTGCACCAGCCCCTCTGCCTGATAGTCTCTGGTTCTGTTTTGTTTGTTTTACAGAATGAAGAGTAGTTTTATAGAAAAAAGAGGACAATATTGGGATCACCTTTGACCTGTCCATTTGGAAATATTTTCTATTGAGTTATAGAAAGGTGGGAAGCTTTCATTTAGAACAAGTAAGTATATGAGAAATAACATCTGCCTGGTTATAGTGTCTGCTACCAAATACTGATGATGTTGAATGGAAAATCAATTCACGGCTTCCTCTGACCAGTCATATGTGGAATTACCGATAAATATTCTTCTGTCGTTTTAGGAATTCAGTTGCAAATATGGTAACCTGTGATAAAAGACAGAACCATAGACAGGATAGGACTTACACAAAGAGTGACCAGGTGTATGTTTCAAAGTGTTCTCATCATCTGTTCAGCCAGACAGCAGAGAGCTACACACATCAAGCTCATTGTGAAGAAGCATGGTGTAGATCTAAGTGGCAACCAAAATGTAGCTCTTTCCACTTCAACAATTGGGTGTAGACCTGCGCTGTCTAGTATATTAGTAGTAGCCACTAGCCCCCTGTGGCTATTTAAAGGTTAATTTAAATAAAATAAAATAAAATTTAAACTTCAGTTGCACAGTCACTGTAGCCAGATTTCAAGTACTCAGTAGTCAGATGTGACTAATGACTACCATATTGTATAATGCGGATATAGAACATGTTCATTATCACAGAACGTTCTATTAAAAGGCATTGGTCTAGATAAAGAGATATTCTGAAAAGAATGAATAATGAATGAATAAATGTGCAGCATTTTTTCCACCTAATTACTTGATAAGGAAGGAGTATGATGGTCTACATACAAGGATATATAACATAGTACAATAATACCTTACTGTTTTATATATATATATATTTTTGTGTGTGTGTGTGTGTGTGTGTGTGTGTGTGAGAGACAGACTCTCGCTCTGTAGCCCAGGCTGGAGTGCAGTGGTGTGATCTCGGCTCACTGCAACCTCCACCTCCTGGGTTCAAGCAATGCTCCTGCCTCAGCCTCCTGAGTAGCTGGGACCACAGGCGAGTGCCACCATGCCCAGCTAATTTTTTGTATTTTTAGTAAGGGTGAGGTTTCACCATATTAGCCAGGCTGGTCTCGATCTCCTGACCTCGTGATCCACCCGCCTTGGCCTCCCAAAGTGCTGGGATTACAGGCGTGAGCTACCACCCTCAGCCACTTTTCCAATTTTGAGACATTTTTGTGTATGAGAGTTATGTGACTTATTCAATATAATGAGTCTTTTAAATAATTAGTCTTTTAAATAACATGTCTTCATTTTATAGGTGAAGAAATGCAGTCTTAGGAAGGCTAGGCTGTGAGCTTGTGTGTGTGGGTCTCTAAGCCTTTCTGAGGCTTCCTTTCTTTTTTTTTTTTTCCCAAGACGGAGTTTTGCTCTTGTTGCCCAGGCTGGACTGCAATGGCGAGATCTCGGCTCACCGCAACCTCCACCTCCCAGGTTCAAGTGATTCGCCTGCTTCAGCCTCCCAAGTAGCTGGGATTACAGGCATGCGCCACCACGCCTGGCTAATTTTGTATTTTTAGTAGAGACAGGGTTTCTCCATGTTGGTCAGGCTAGTCTTGAACTCCCGACCTCAGATAATCCACCCACCTCAACCTTCCAAAGTGCTGAGATTACAGGCATGAGTCACCGCATCCAGCTGAGGCTGTATTTCTTTAGCTCTAAACTGAAGATCACAATGGGACACAGACTTAGAGGTTACTTCCATAGGGATGATGTAGAAGCTAGAGAACAGATGAGACCCCAGAAGGAAAGAGATGGGACTGTCTTGCAGGACATGTAGACAGGGAATATGCCGGCTGAGGTCAGCAGTAGAGCTCTGCAATGGTGAGAAAGGACAGCTGGGATGGGGTCCTGGTGCTTGGAGTGATTGATGGTGCATTTCAGGCCAGAGAGGTTCTGGGGTCTTTGAGAGAAGCACATTCCCTCTCTGATCAATCAACACAGGTTTGAAAGCCAGGAGCGGCCAGGCACGGTGGCTCATGCCTGTAATCCCAACACTTTGGGAGGCTGAGGCGGGCGGATCACCTGAGGTCAGGAGTTCGAGACCAGCCTGACCAACATACAGAAATCTCATCTCTACTAAAAATACAAAATTAGCTTGGCGTGGTGGTGCATGCCTGTAATCCCAGCTACTTGGGAGACTGTGGCAGGAGAATCACTTGAACCCAGGAGGCGGAGGTTGTGGTAAGCTGAGATCGCACCACTGCACTCCAGCCTGGGCAATAAGAGCGAAACTTCATCAAAAAAACAAAAACAAAACAAAACAAAACAAAAAAACCAGAAGCAGCCTAGCCCAGGAAGAAATCTATTGCAGACGGTGTCTGAGAGTTAAAAACCAGGAAGACATTTCTCCAAGCTGTCACAAACATAGCATGGGCACAGTGCCTGGGTACAGTGTGGTCTGCCTTTCAGAATTAGATATTGCAGAGTCAGACACAAAAAGGACACAACTATCCTCAAGACCAGGCGGGAGAGCTTACATTGGATAAAAATCAATGTTTTGATGTGATACTCTTCAGAAAAGACCAAAGTCTGTGAGAGATAAAATGTGCTCTTCCTTTGTAGGGTTATACCTGAATAAAGGCTAAAAATAGTAGCTATCATATATTGAGTTATAACTTTGTACGAGATACTATACATGAATTCCTAAGTTAAATACTGTTCTCCACACCATTGTACGGATGAGGAATCCCTGGTGTGCTGGAGCTGGTTCTTACTGTGATGTGAAACCTGATTATTGAATTTTCAGGATTTTGTTAGCCAGTTGACATACACTGTTAGTTTGAAATAGGCCATGGTAGGAATATTTATACCACGGGGATTGGTGAATGCTACAAATTAGGGCCTTTACTCCTAGAAGGCCAGTTTGTGAAACCGTTTAGCAGCACATAACTTTTTTTGTTGTTGTTGAGATGGAGTTTTACTCTTGTTGGGCTGGAGTGCAGTGGCACAATCTTGGCTCACTGCAACCTCCACCTCCCAGGTTCAAGTGATTCTCCTGCCTCAGCCTCCCGAGTAGCTAAGACTACAGGCATGCGCCACCACACCTGGCTAATTTTGCATTTTTAGTAGAGACAGGGTTTCTCCATGTGGTCAGGCTGGTCTCACACTACCGACCTCTGGTGATCCACCCGCCTCGGCCTCCCAAAGTGCTGGAATTACAGGCGTGAGCCACCGTTCCCAGTCAGCAGCACAGAATTGAAATAGACTCAAAGAGGCTTAGTGACTTGCCAAAGTCATACAGATGGTAGCAAGTGGCAGATCCTAGGCCAGTGCTGTTATTCTAAAGCCAACGGTCTTACCACTACGACCTCGATGGGGACTGTCTTATATTGGAGGGACAAGATAACACACCTTACTTCATCACCAAAGCAAAACCATCTTGCTCATCAATGACTCTGGGTTTAGAACTGCTTTGCAGAGCATTTCTTAAAGGCCTGGAATTCAAGCATTTGGCATCTCCATAACTCAGGAGATGCCCACAGGAAAAAAACGCATGGCCCTAATGCTCTGGAGACAGATGCTGACATGCACATTATATATAAACAAATAAATATATATATTTCTCCCCATCTCCTCAGTGAATTTCATAAAGGACAATAGCCGAGCCCTTATTCAAAGAATGGGAATGACTGTTGTAAAGCAAATTACAGATGACCTATTTGCATGGAATGTTCTGAATTACGGAGAAGTATGCAACATTTGCTGCGAGAAGGTGGAGCAGGATGCTGCGAGAGGGATCATTCACATGATTTTGAAAAAGGGTTCAGAGGCCTGTAACCTCTTTCTTAAATCCCTTGAGGAATGGAACTATCCTCTATTTCAGGACTTGAATGGACAAAGTAAGTATCATTTAGTTTTGCATCTGTTTCTGCAAATAGCGTGAATGGCAGAGCCTCTGCTTTTCCTCTTCTTCATATCACCTGGCAGTGGCCTTTGATTCCTGCTAAGGAAAAGCTTAGATGATTTTAGGAAAAATTCATAGTAGATCAATTGATGGTGAAGCCAAACAACCCCAGGGCCAGGGAATAAATGACTGAGTATAGTGTCACTGCAAGATAAAACAGGACAATGAGTGTACTAGTTAAGCTGCCAATGCAGCGGTGGTTCTCAGCGTTCCCTGCTTGGATGAGATCTACCTATGGGAGAGAGGCCCAGCTGACTACCTACCATGTCCAGGCCTCCTGGTAAAGACAGCCTGACTGACACAAGAGCACGATTCTATTTTTCATGAAATATGAATTCAGTTTTTATTTTTTTTAATTAGTAAATAAGGTCATGACAGATTTTACTTAGAGTGAAGGCCTAATATGCTGACAGTTACCCCAACCATCTTTCTCTGCCAAATTCTTTACTTTCCTTAACCCATACACAAGCTCCTCCCTTTTCCAGCCAGCTGCTATAAGATTTGGTTGTGGAAAGGAGGAAACAGAAAGCAAAAAAGGGAGTGGGGTAAAGGATGCCGGGGAAACGGGGAGCAGACAGAACCCTTTGTGTCCGTTCGGAACTGGGAAAGGACATTACGTTCACCAATGGCAGATTCTCAGCCTCACCTCCTTATTCATCCTCCTGAACTCTAGGTTTTGAGGAGACACAGAATTGGGTCCTCTTTAACATCACCTCTTCTCTAATAGGTCTTTTCCATCAGATATCAGAAGGAGACTTGGACGATGTGGCTCAGGATTTAAAGGACTGGTACCATACCCCATCTTTTCTGAACTTCTATCCCCTTGGTGAAGATATTGACATTATTTTTAGCCTGAAAAGCACCTTCACAGAACCTGTCCTGTGGAGGAAGGACCAACACCATCACCGCGTGGAGCAGCTGACCCTGAACGGCCTCCTGCAGGCTCTTCAGAGCCCCTGCATCATTGAAGGGGAATCTGGCAAAGGGAAGTCCACTCTGCTGCAGCGAATTGCCATGCTCTGGGGCTCCGGAAAGTGCGAGGCTCTGACCAAGTTCAAATTCGTCTTCTTCATCCGTCTCAGCAGGGCCCAGGGCGGACTTTTTGAAACCCTCTGTGATCAGGTCTTGGATATACCAGGCACAATCAGGAAGCAGACATTCATGGCCATGCTGCTGAAGCTACGGCAGAGGGTTCTTTTTCTTCTTGATGGCTACAATGAATTCAAGCCCCAGAACTGCCCAGAAATCGAAGCCCTGATAAAGGAAAACCACCGCTTCAAGAACATGGTCATCGTGACCACCACCACTGAGTGCCTGAGGCACATACGGCAGTTTGGTGCCCTGATTGCTGAGGTGGGGGATATGACAGAAGACAGCGCGCAGGCTCTCATCCGAGAAGTGCTGATCGAGGAGCTTGCCGAAGGCTTGTTGCTCCAAATTCAGAAATCCAGGTGCTTGAGGAATCTCATGAAGACCCCTCTCTTTGTGGTCATCACTTGTGCAATCCAGATGGGTGAAAGTGAGTTCCACTCTCACACACAAACAACACTGTTCCATACCTTCTATGATCTGTTGATACAGAAAAACAAACACAAACATAAAGGTGTGACTGCAAGTGACTTCATTCGGAGCCTGGACCACTGTGGAGACCTAGCTCTGGAGGGTGTGTTCTCCCACAAGTTTGATTTCAAACTGGAGGATGTGTCCAGCGTGAATGAGGAAGTCCTGCTGACAACTGGGCTCCTCTGTAAATATACGGCTCAAAGGTTCAAGCCAAAGTATAAATTCTTTCACAAGTCATTCCAGGAGTACACAGCAGGACGAAGACTCAGCAGTTTATTGACGTCTCGTGAGCCAGAGGAGGTGACCAAGGGGAATGGTTACTTGCAGAAAATGGTTTCCATTTCGGACATTACATCCACGTATAGCAGCCTGCTCCGGTACACCTGTGGGTCATCTGTGGAAGCCACCAGGGCTGTTATGAAGCACCTCGCAGCAGTGTATCAACATGGCTGCCTTCTCGGGCTTTCCATCACCAAGAGGCCTCTCTGGAGACAGGAATCTTTGCAAAGTGTGAAAAACACCACTGAGCAAGAAATTCTGAAAGCCATAAACATCAGTTCCTTTGTAGAGTGTGGCATCCATTTATATCATGAGAGTACATCCAAATCAGCCCTGAGCCAAGAATTTGAAGCTTTCTTTCAAGGTAAAAGCTTATATATCAATTCAGAGAACATCCCCGATTACTTATTTGACTTCTTTGAACACTTGCCCAATTGTGCAAGTGCTCTGGACTTCATTAAACTGGACTTCTATGGGGGAGCTATGGCTTCATGGGACAAGGCTGCAGAAGACACAGGCACAATCCACATGGAAGAGGCCCCAGAAACCTACATTCCCAGCAGGGCTGTATCTCTGTTCTTCAACTGGAAGCAGGAATTCAGGACTCTGGAGGTCACACTCCGGGATTTCAGCAAGTTGAATAAGAAAGATATCAAGTATCTGGAAAAAATATTCAGCTCTGCCACAAGCCTCAGGCTGCAAATAAAGAGATGTGCTGGTGTGGCTGGAAGCCTCAGTTTGGTCCTGAGTACCTGTAAGAACATTTATTCTCTCATGCTGGAAGCCAGTCCCCTCACCATAGAAGATGAGCAGCATATCACGTCTGTAACAAACCTGAAAACCTTGAGTATTCACGACCTACAGAATCAACGGTTGCCGGGTATTGTAAATATCAGTGGTTTGTGCTATGTTCACTTAAAAAAAAAAATAGTGTATACATTTGGAAAAGGAGAGAGGAGACTTTATTTCTTCTAAAGGGTTACAGCCTGCAAGGTGGCCATCCCGCAGGCTGGGAAACATGCCTCTAACCAAGACCACAGACAGGCACCTCGAAGGAGGGGTTGGGGTAGACGCTTTATGTTGAATGGGTTGGCTAAACATACATATTCAACAGATTACAGGAGGAGCTATGAATATTCCTGAAGGTGGTCTTGACGCATGCCTATTGAATAAACATGCATGTAACATACAACCCAAGTTCACTTTGGGGTGGAGATTTAGCATTTAAATCAAGCTTATCCAACCTGCAGCCCGTGGACTGCACGTGGCCCAAGACGGCTTTGAATGTGGCCCAGAACAAATTCATAAACTTTTTTTTTTTTTTTTTTTTGAGACAGAATCTCGCTCTGTCGCCCAGGCTGGAGTGCAGTGGCCGGATCTCAGCTCACTGCAAGCTCCGCCTCCCGGGTTTACGCCATTCTCCTGCCTCAGCCTCCCAAGTAGCTGGGACTACAGGCACCCACCACCTTGCCCGGCTAGTTGTTTGTATTTTTTAGTAGAGACGGGGTTTCACCATGTTAGCCAGGATGGTCTCGATCTCCTGACCTCGTGATCCACCCGTCTTGGCCTCCCAAAGTGCTGGGATTACAGGCTTGAGCCACCGCGCCCGGCCCATTCATAAACCTTTTAAAAACATTATGAGGGTTTTTTTTGCAAATTTTTTTTTTTTTTTTTTTTTAGTTCATCAACTATCATTAGCGTTAGTGTATTTTATGTGTAGCCCAATACAATTCTTCTTCCAATGTGGCCCAGGGAAACCAAAAGATTGTACATCCCTTTAAATGATTTAAATGTATTACAATAGGCCTATACTTCAGAGGTTCTTTTCAGAACACAAAGGTAAGCAGGTACGCAATCTCTGTAAACCAGCCAGAACCAGTCTGTGGTTGGTGGTCCTCTGATCAGGAGAGAGTTACTGAAATCACTCTCTTCTCCAATCAAAGCTGTAGTTATGGCAGGTGGAACAGGGATTGTTAGCATTTGTGAGCTGGATGAGTTGCGAATTGTTTAATATTCACAACTGTCAATATTGCTTGTCTTGAGACCAATGCATGTTTAGCTACCAACGAAGAAAAATCTGTGGTGGTTACGGCACAGTTTATTCTTTAAAAAAATTTTTTTTTCAAGGTAGGTCTTGCTCTGTCACCCAGGTGGGAGTGCAGTGGTGCAATCACAGTTCATTGCAGCCTCAAACTCCTGGGCTCAGTCGATCCTCATTGTTTGTTTTTTTTTTTTGAGAGACGAGGTCTCACTATGTTGCCCAGGCTGGTCTTGAACTCCTGGGCTCAAGCAATTCTACTGCCTCCACCTTCCAAACTGTTGGGATTACAGGCATGAGCCACGATGCCCAGCCTAGGACAGTTTATTCTTTAAGTGTAGAGCTGCGTGACTTAGCCTTTGCCTGGCATGGTCTTATGTCCTATTTATAACTTGGTATTTTATTGCCATAAAAAGTCTGTTCTGTTAGTCTTATGATCTCTATGTTAACAGTAATGCTGATGAGTTGTGTTCAAACCACAAAAGAGAGGGAGTATGATGATGTGTGTTTGACCTCCCATCCTGTCATGGCCAGGTCCTTTGTTTAAGTTTTTTTCTGGGGTCCCCTTAGCCCAGAGGGGATGCATTCCATTGGTGCAGGGGGGCCTAGGATTTTTAGTTTACAGCTATAATCAAGCCTGGCTGGAAATAATAGCCAGGAATACTGTGAAAATGTTAGATATATAGTTTTGCTTTATTTATTTATCTATTATTTATTTTTATAGATATGGGGGTTCAAGTGCAGTTTTTTTACATTGATATATTTCGTGGTGGTGAAATCTGAGCTTTGAGTGTAACCACCATTATCAGTTAGATAATTTCTCATCCCTTGCCTCCCTCTCACCCTCCCACCTTTCCAAGTCTCCATGTCTATTCCGCTTTCTATCTCCACGTGTACACATTATTTAGCTCCCACTTGTAAGTGAGTACATACGGTATTTGACTTTCCGTTTCTGAGTTATTTCACTTAAGATAATGGCCGCCGGTTCCATCAATAAGGTTGCTGCAAAAGACATGATTTCATTTTTATTAGTTTTGTTTTAAATTTTCTAGTAGTTTCTGCTAGGTATCAGGACTTGAAAGGAAGGTAGAAGGGCAGTGGAGAGAGGTCCATGCTGGGCGAAAGTTGTCAGATTGGGAGCCATAGGGAAGATTCCCAGAGCTGTAGTCTGATTGGAAAGATATAGATACACACACCTACATATATACATATATGTATGTGTTTAAATATCTTTGAAATATTTTTATTAAAAATATAAATATATTAAAAATATTTTTATTAAAAATATATTGAGAGGCTGAGGCAGGTGGATCCCCTGAAGTCGGGAGTTTGAGACCAGTCTGACCAACATGGAGAAACCCCGTCTCTACTAAAAATACAAAATTAGCCGGGCGTGGTGGCGCATGCCTGTAATCCCAGCTACTGGGGAGGCTGAGGCAGGAGAATCACTTGAACCCGGGAGGTAGAGGTTGCGGTGAGCCAAGATCGTGCCATTACACTCCAGCCTGGGCAAGAAGAGTGAAACTCTGTCTCAAAAAAAGAAAAGAAAAGAAAAGAAAAAAAAAATATATATATATATATGCAGGTTAAGCTTGTCTTCAGCAAATCCTTCTGCGAGCACCCCCATCTTTACCAATACCCAGTCCTCCCCTGCCAAGTGACACCCTGCCCTACTTCAAGTCTTGGAGGAAATCCAGCCTGTAAATTAATCACCTGCAGGAGTTAGTAGCTAATTGTGTTACAAGATTCTCATCTGGGAAATTGTAGAAGATACCCAGCCCCATTCCCACCCTAACTATTGTTTACTTAGTTGGGGCCAGGCCAGGTGACTCACACCAGTAATTCCAACACTTTGGGAGGCCAAGGCAGAGGATTACTTGAGATCAGTCTGGGCACAATAGGAAGACCCTGTCTCTACCAAAAATTAATCATCTGGGCGTGATGGTGCATGCCTGTAATCCCAGATACTCTAGAGGCTGAGGTGGGAGGATCACTTGAACCGAGGAATTTTCAGGCTGCAGCAAGGTATGATCATACCAGTGCCTGGGCAACAGAGCAAGACCCTATCTCAAAAAAGAAAAGAAAAAAAAGAATGAATGATAGAAGACTTGGGGAATGTTGTCTAACATGATGAAATTCCAGATTTTAGACTTCAGACACAGATATGTGAGGGCAATCTTTCTGGGTGAAGGGGATACTTCCCCAAATTCCGAATAACACTAAAGGAGAATGCCTGCCCTACCTGTGTAGACCAGTCTGGTTGCCCAGAACAGGAATGCTATGTGGTGTGAAGCTATGAGAAGCAGGAACCTTGTTCTACTTAACTGTAACAGTCTGGGGTTAGTTTCAGACACAAGCAATTTCCCACCTAGCTCTGCCTTGCTTGTCACCCTGCAGAGAAATTTTCTGTCATTTTGAGATTCTAGAATTTTTTTTACAGATAATCTTTGAAACCTCCTCCTTAATGCGGGAATCCCTTCTGTAAGATTTTGGATGTCACGAAGACTTTATTAGACTACCTTCTGTGTCAGGAAGCTCACCATCTACTCATGACAACTATTCTTTTATACTGATCTTGTAAAGTGATCACCTGTGTACTGAATTTGGCCTACATGGTGTTTAGAATTATTTTGTAATGTTTGCCATTTAAAAAATTATTTACTTTATTTAACTATTATTATTTTTTTGAGACAGGGTCTCACTCTGTCACCCAGGCTGGAGTGCAGTGGCACAATCTTGGCTCATTGCAACCTCTGCCTCCTGGATACAAGCAAGTCTCCTGCCTCAGAATCCCAAGTAGCTGGGATTACAGGCGCACGCCACCACACCTGGCTAATTTTTGTATTTTTAGTACAGACTTGGTTTCACCATGTTGGCCAGGCTGGTTTCAAACTCCCAATCTCAGGTGATCCACCCGCCTCGGCTTCCCAAAGTGCTGGGATTACAGGTGTGAGCCACTGTGCCCGGCCCTCCTTCTTTTTTGTAGAGACAAGGTCTCTCTATGTTGCTGAGGCCGGTCGTGAACTCCTGGGCTCAAGTGATCCTCCCCCTCAGCCTCGCAAACTGCTAGGATTATAGGTATGAGCCACTGCACCCAGCCAGTTTTAGAAGGATGTTTTTTGTGGGGTTTGCAGGAGAGGGTGTTGTAGATTCCTTGACATTTTTATTGTAGACAATCATGTTATCTTTGAAAAGAATGATTTTAAATTCTTCCCTTCCAATTTGTATTCCTTTTATTTTATTTTTATTTTTTGCCTTATTTCACTGACTAGGACGTGCAGTACAATGTTGAACAGGGGTGGTAGGAATGAACATCTTGTCTTGTTCCTGACCTTAGGGAGAAAGCATTCAGACTTTCACTGCTAAGTATAATGTTAAATGTAGTTTTCTTGTAGATGTCTTTTATCAAGTTGCTGAGAATTTTTTTTGTCATGAATAGATGATGGATTGTATTAAAGGTGTTTTCTGTATCCATTTATATGATCATGTCATTTTACATGAATGGACGTTGGATTGTTTTTATAAAATTATTTTTAAATTATTTTTGAGGCAGGGTCTTGTTCTATCACCCAGGCTGGTGTGCAGGGGCATGATCATAGCTCACTGTAGCCTTGACTTCCTGGGCTCAACAGATCCGCCCGCCTCAGCCTCTTGACTAGCTGGGACCACAAGTGTGCACTATCACATCTGGTTAATTTTTAAATTTTTTGTAGAGATGAGTTCTCACTATGTTGCCCAGGCTGGTCTCGGACTCCTGTGCTCAAGAGACTTTCCTGCCTGGGCCTCCCAAAGTGTTGGGATTACAGGTGTGAGCCACCCAGCCTGGATGTTGGATTATGTTACATGTGTTTTCTGCATCAATTTATAGGATCATGTAGTTTTTCTTTTAGACTGCCAATATAATGAATTATATGGATTGATGTCCAAATATTGAGCATCCTGCATTCCCTATATGAAACCCATTTGGAGGTGGTGTAATATTCTTTTTTTTTTTTTTTTGAGACGTAATCTTGCTCTGTCACCAGGCTGAGTACAGTGGTGCGATCTTGGCTCACTGCAACCTCCGCCTCCCGGGTTCAAGTGATTCTTCTGCCTCAGCCTCCCAAGTAGCTGGGACTACAGGCACATGCCACCATGCCCAGCTAATTTTTGTATTTTTAGTAGAGACGGGGTTTCACCATGTTGGCCAGGCTGGTCTCGAACTCCTGACCTCGTGATCCACCTACCTTGGCCTCCAGAGTGCTGGGATTACAGGTGTGAGCCACCACACCTGCCATAATATTCTTTTATGCATGACTGAATTCCATTTGCTATTTTGTTGAAGATTTTTGATTCTATATTCATGAATGATATTGGTCTAAAGTTTAATTTCCTTTCTTTCTTTCTTTTCGAGACAGGGTCTTACTCTGTCACCAGGGCTAGAGTGCAGTAGTGCGATCTCAGATCACTGCAACCTCCGTCTCCTGGGTTCAAGTGATTCTCCTGCCTCAGCCTCCAGAGTAGCTGGGATTACAGGAGCCTGCCACTAGGCCCAGCTAATTTTTTGTATTTTTAGTAGTGATGGGGTTTCACCATGTTGGCCAGGCTGGTCTCAAACTCCTGACCTAGTGATTCGCCTGCCTTGCCCTCCCAAAGTGCTGGAATTACAGGCGTGAGCCACCACGGCTGCTATAATATTCTTTTATGCATGACTGAATTCCATTTGCTATTTTGTTGAAGATTTTTGATTCTATATTCATGAATGATATTGGTCTAAAGTTTAATTTTCTTTCTTTCTTTCTTTTCGAGATGGGGTCTCACTCTGTTACCAGGGCTGGAGTGCAGTGGCACAGTCTCAGCTCACTGCAACCTCTGTCTCCTGGGTTCAAGCGATTCTCTTGCCTCAGCCTCCAGAGTAGCTGGGATTACAGGAGCCTGCCACTACGCCCAGCTAATTGTTTGTATTTTTAGTAGAGACGGGGTTTCACCATGTTGACCAGGCTGGTCTCAAACTCCTGACCTCGTGATTCGCCTGCCTTGCCCTCCCAAAGTGCTGGGATTACAGGCGTAAGCCACCTCACCCAGCCTCAATTTTCTTTCTTTTTCTTTTCCCTCCTTCCCTCCCTCCTTTCTCTCTCTATTCTGTCCCTCTCACTTTCTTTCTTTCATTAAAGACAGTGTCTCATTCTGTCACCAAGGCTGGAGTACAGTGGTGTGATCACAGTTCATTGCAATCTTGAACTCCTGGACTCAAGCGATTATCTTGCCTCAGTCTCCTGAGTAGCCAGGACTACTCACACCTGCCACCACACCTGGGTAATTTAAAAAATATTTTGTAGGGATAGGGTCTGGATATATTGCCCAGGCTGGTCTTGAACTCCTGGCCTCAGGTGATCCTCCTACCTCTGCCCCCAAAGCACAGGGGTTATAGGAGTGAGCCACTGTGCCTGGCCTAAATTTTTTTCTTCTACATCTTTGTCTGCTTTTCATATCCAGCTAATGATGGCTTCATAAAATAAGTTGGGAATTGTTCTTTGTACTTCTATTTTCTGGAAGTGATTGTGTAGAATTGATATTATTTCTTCTTTAAATGTGTGGTAGATATGAAGGCAGTTGAAGAAGGAAAAAAATGAAAATGTGTGGCAGAATTTGCAAGCGAACATATCTGTGCCTGCAGGTTTCTTTTTTGGGAAATTTTAGATTACAAATCCAATTTCTTTAATAGCTATAAGGCTATTCCGGTTACCTATTCCATATCTCACGACTATTGGTAGTTTGCGGTTTTCAAAAAATTGGGCAATTTCATATATGTTGTCAAATTTATGTGTGTAGATTTGTTTATATTATTCTCTAATTGTCCTTTTAATATCTGCAGTGTGTGTAGTGATATCCCCTTTTTTGTTTCTGATATTGGTAATCTGTGTCTTCTTTTGTCAGTCTTGGTAGAAATTTTCTAATTTTATTGATCTTTTCAAAGATCCAACTTTTAGCTTCATTGCTTTTTTTCTATTGTTTACATTTATAATTTTGATTTCTGGGCTGGGCATGGTGGCTCACGCCTGTAATCCTAGCACTTTAGGAGGCTGAGGCCAAAGGATCACTTGTGCTCAGGAGTCCGAGACCAGCCTGGGCAACATAGTAAGATCTTGTCTCTGTTTTTAATTTTTATAATAAAGATGTAATAATTTTGATTTCCACCCTTATCTTTATTAGTTTATTTCTTCTTTCCTTTATTTTGCTCTCTTTTCTGTAATTTCTTTTTTTTTTTTTTTTGAGACAGAGTCTCACTCTGTAGCCCAGGCTGGAGTGCAGTGGCCGGATCTCGGCTCACTGCAAGCTCCGCCTCCCGCGTTGACGCCATTCTTCTGCCTCAGCCTCCTGAGTAGCTGGGACTACAGGCGCCCGCCACCTCGCCCAACTAATTTTTGGTATTTTTAGTAGAGACGGGGTTTCATTGCGTTAGCCAGGATGTCTCCATCTCCTGACCTTGTGATCCGCCCGCCTCGGCCTCCCAAAGTGCTGAAATTACAGGCGTGAGCCACCGCGCCGGCCTGTAATTTCTTAAGTAGTATGCCTCAGTTGTTGATTTGAGACCTTTCCTCATTTCTAATATAAGTATGCAACGCTGTAAATATCCCTGTAAACACTGTGTTAGCTGAAGATTTTTTTTTTCTTTTCACCCCTTTGTGAGTGGAGAGCTGCAGATTTTGAAGTTTTGTTCTTATTTTTAAAAATATTTTTCAAAATATTGTCAAATTTTCCTTGAGTCTTCTTTAACGCATAATTATTTAAAAGTGTGTTGTTTAATTTTCAAGTGTTTAGAAATTTCCCTGTTATCTGGGAAATCATTTGGAGAACATGCTTACAGTGAAGTACAATGCCCATTTCTTATAAAAAGTATGTTTTTATGTCTATTTCATGAGCATTTTTGGCTCATGGCGATCATTAAAATCTTTTGATTGGTAACAAAAATGACAGTAATAGTAAATGACATAGTAAATAGCAAATATCCGCTGAACAGAATCTAATCTTCTTTCTTTTGACAGGTGGTCTGACTGACAGATTGAGTAATTTGAAGAACCTTACAAAGCTCATAATGGATAACATTAAGATGAATGAAGAAGATGCTATAAAACTAGGTCAGATTTCTGTTCTCATATGTGTATTAATGTGAGTTTGATAATAAGAGGAGTTAACTTCAGGCTGTGACACTGGCTGTGTCTGCACAAGGCAAGGATGTTTTTATGTACTTATGGCTACATTGGTTTCCCTAGACATTTTCCCTACTGCCATTACAATCCTTTTATCTCATTGTATTCAAATTGTACAACACTAGATGGTAACCCTTTTGGGAAGACAGCCCATGACGTGTTTTTAATTTCCCTCTCCCTGGCTCATTGGCTGTTTTTATTTAATGCATAGAAACAATATTTTAAAGTTTATAGTATGGTTTCATAATTGCATAGAAACAATATTTTAAAGTTTATACTATGATTTCATAATTAAGTAAAATTTCATAAATGAAATAGGACACAGGAAACAATGTGAATCGAGAAAACTTTGGGGGAAGCATGCTTTCATTCTACACTAGAGATTGTGTTTCCCCAATCAAAAAAATGAAAAGGAAAAGGAAACTTCAGGAACACAAGCAGAACACATGGCTTACCACAGGGAACCAGGCCCTCCAGGCCAGGGAGGATTCCTGTTAAAGCTGCTTTCCTTGAATGTCCCTGTTTCCTCGTGTGTTAGATTTTTTTTTTTTTTTTGGCTCTTTTTTTCCCTAGTTGAGTCCTCACTAAAAGGCTCCTCTCTTCCCTTCACCTTGTTCTTTCTTATTCTGCTTCCCGCCAAAAGACAACTCTGTCCTATAATCAAAACATGGCTGAAGCCTGGGCATGGTGGATCATGCCTATAATTCCAGCACTCTGGGAGGCCAAGGCGGGTGGATCACCTGAGTTCAGGAGTTCAAGACCAGCCTGGCCAACATGGTGAAACCCCATATCTACTAAAAATACAAAAATTAGCTGGGCATGGTGGTATGCACCTATAATCCCAGCTACTTGGGAGGCTGAGGCAGGATAATCACTTGAACCCAGGAGGAGGAGGTTGCAGTGAGCTGAGATTGCTCTGCTGCACTCCAGCCTGGACGACAGAGAGAGACTCCATCTCGAAACAAAAACACAAAAGCAAAACATGGCTGACTTCTTTTCCTTATATGGCCTACGTGAGAATAATCAAATTAATTCAGTGTTCAATAAACATTTATTGCATGTGTATAAATTACACAGAAAATCAGAGCTGGAAGAGGATTGAGAGCATCTAATTCAACTCATTCATTTCACAGAAAACTCCACTGGAACCTAAAATAGCTTATTGACTTGCTCAAGATACTACCAACTGGCAGAAAGAGGTCAAAAAGTACCTCTCTAGGACAGCCTGCTTCTGCTATTAAGGAATCAAAATATGAACTTGACTAAACCAGTCTAATTATATTAGTAATAATTTACTCTTTATTAAAGAGTTACTGTGCTATAGATTAGACACTAGCCTAGACAGTTTTATATACTTCATTCCACTGAATCCCCACAACAGTCCTAGTACACAGATATAATGATCCCTAAAGCTTAAGCTAAAAGATTGAATAACTTGTCCAAGTTTATAATTATTAAGTAGGGGATCCAGGAACTGACTGCAAAGCTCATGCTCACAACCTCCAACCTGTATGTACTCCCATGACAACAGTGAACATTTATTGAACATTTATTGAGCACTTACTATGTGCCACATTAAATATGTTACATACATTATCTGCAACCTTCCTGAAAGCTCTGCAAGATTGATATTATTAGAATCATATATTTCTTTTCTTTTTTTTTTTTCTGAGGCAGAGTCTCGCTCTGTTGCCCAGGCTGGAGTGCAGTAGCGAGATCGCAGCTCACTGCAACCTCTGCCTCCTGGGTTCAAGCGATTCTAATGCCTCAACCTCCCGAGTAGCTGAGATTACAGGTGTGCACCATCACGCCCAGCTAATTTTTGTATTTTTAGTAGAGATGGGGTTCTGCCATGTTGGCCAGGCTGGTCTCGAACTCCTGACCTCAGGTGATCTGCCCACCACTACCTCTCATAGTGCTGGGATTACAGGTGTGAGCCACCATGCCTGGCCATTAAAATCATGTATTTCTTTCCTGTAGGCTACAGTACCATCAAGATAAGGCAATATTTTAATGACACAAAGTAAGGCCTAACCAATCCTAAACTGCACATTAGCTTTAGACCTAAGAATGGGGGACATTTCAGAATGTTTCCAATTGTACTGTTGATATAAGGTAAATCTTTCTTCTGGTTAAATACACTGCAGTGGATGTGGTCTTCATTCTAAAGTATCAGGTGGGACTTGTGGTCTTCATTCTAAAGCATCAGGCAGGCCCCATATCATGAGTCCCAGGCAAGACTTTTGAGGCTGTGAACAGTTGCACTAGAAGCACTCCAAGGACCAAGTCCCCATGCTACCCCCCTGAACTCAGCCCCCCGCTGTTTAAGATTTTTGAGAAGATTGAAAGGAGAGTGCTCTAGAAGACTTCATCCATCTAAAGAATTATCGTAAGAGTATACATTGATGCCCATTAAAAAGACTACAAATTTACGATAGTGTTTCTCATGCTACTAAGAGAATAACCTCCATATAAGTGATTTTTGTGTGGTCCAAGAGACTGGAAAGTGAGAGTTGAAAGAAGAACAGCTCTCTGACTCTTTGTAGCTTAAGGTTGCTGCAGGAAGAACATGGGAAGGTCTCTGCACAATTATTCTTTGCTTTCTTTTCAGTTCATTAATCTATGCTTAAATTGAATTAACTTGGTATCCTAATGCATTCCTTTCTCTTTTTTCAGCTGAAGGCCTGAAAAATCTGAAGAAGATGTGTTTATTTCGTTTGACCCACTTGTCTGACATTGGAGAGGGAATGGATTACATAGTCAAGTCTCTGTCAAGTGAACCCTGTGACCTTGAAGAAATTCAATTAGTCTCCTGCTGCTTGTCGGCAAATGCAGTGAAAATCCTAGGTAACTGTTGCTTCCATTAACTGAATGAGGACAGTATAACAGAACATGTGATACTATTATACTAATTCACACTAAATGTCTCAAATGGAAATTTAATTTTAAGGAAAACTGGAAAAGATAATAAAAACTTCTGGATAATAAGCAGATTGTTTTTAATGATTTTTCTCCATATTGGAATTAAAATCAACTATTGATGGATAATAGGGGAGAATTTCAGAATAATTGAAGATGTAACTTTTAGAGAAAGTGAAAAGGAAGAAAATAAGAAATAGGTGCTTGAAACTTGCCACACAACCTGTCATATAATTTACTGCCTAATAAACATTTAAATGAATGGATAAATGATTGAGAAGTGAGAGATAAAGATTTTCTTAAATGATCTCAAGCCTCTAATTCCTACCCATTGCCCTGTTAAGATGAAGTTAATGTGCATTAATGTGACAATTGAGTCTTCTGAGTTTCCAAAGGGATGCATATCAAGTATGGGGAAACTTACTGCATATTTCTGGATAAACTATACATGTGTAATTCAGACATATTTTAAAATTTAGATTTTGGAAAAGAGTGGTATAATCTTTTTAAAGTTAAACTATATAACTCTGGGAGTCTCTAAAGATAACTAAGGAAGCCATTTGTATACTAATATAAAGTTACAGCTAGAGAAACCCACAGTTGAAAAAGGCTAGACAAGTACTGGGAATATGAGCACAATGAGCACATGCCTTTATTTCTCTGCTTACTGCTGGGCAGAGACAGGCTTAGAACTGGAAATCGCAAATGTACTCTTTTAAAGAGAAGTTCAGCAGGTTTTTTATTGTAGAGCACACAACCCAGAAGATACTTTAAGAAAAGGGCTCATATGATTGATTAAAAATAATAATAGCCAATATTATAACAAGAGTACATATTCATGAAAAACTTGTCTGATTTTTTTAAAAAGGAGATTTTTCTAGCCTTGATAGAAAAAACTTCACCTAGATTAAGCAAGAGTGATAATATGTGAAGAAAAGAACTAAGCAATTCTTAGCTAGACTGGTACCATTATATAATTCATGTTTGCATACAAAACAGTTTTCCATTACCTCAACATATTTATGTCTTTGTTATTCAAATACATCTTTTGTACATAGCATAAAACTGGGTCTTGCTTAAAAAAAAAGTTCTGATTATCTGATTATCTCTGCCTTTTAATTGGAGTGTTTAGTCCATTAAGATTTAATGTAATTGTTGATATGGATAAATCTGAATCTGCCATTTTGCTATTTGTTTTCTTTTTTCTCATCTTTTTTTTTTTACTAGGTTTTTATTATTAACATCACAACAATTATGTCAATAAAATCATCTCAGTTGAGGTACACAAAACCAGCTCATTTCATTTTTGTTGTTGTTGTTCCTGTTTCTCCTGCATGATTAAGGACATTTTATAATTGAGGCAACGTTACATTTTATCTGGTCCAACTACCTCATTCTATAGAGGAAGACATTGAGGCTTAGAGATTTTTCCATGATGACATAACAACTACATCCCATGCTGCTTTAGGCTTTACGTGACCTGGAATTTATTAATCAGAACCTAGGACCAATGACTATTTGCCCATTTGGTCATAAACATGGGATTTGGGGGTTATGCCTATGCCAGTGCCTTTGGAAATAATTAAAATAACCAAGGCAAGTTATGATTTGCATTACCATTAGCAGAAAAGATAAGAACTCAGAATTATTCTAAGGATACTTCAAAATACATTTATATTTACCTGAAAACTTTTTTATTTTGGATTACTTTTTTTCCCAGCTCAGAATCTTCACAATTTGGTCAAACTGAGCATTCTTGATTTATCAGAAAATTACCTGGAAAAAGATGGAAAAGAAGCTCTACATGAACTGAGTAAGAATGACAATTCAGCCAAAATCAGATGCTTGAATATGTGTACTGGGTAGTCGAAATACATGGCCTGGGCCCTGAGGTCTTTTATACCCATGTGTGCCTTACTAGATGCACCCTCCTTAGGAAAATCATTTAGGCCTTTCCTAAACTGCCCTTAACAAACACAGGCCCATGTCTTTTAAGTCACCAGTTTACATATGCTCACTGCACTTTGAGGCGGGATCCCACCTGCTTTCCTCCTTTGAGGAGGCAACTGTCAGAGTAGCTGATGTGCAAGACAAATTTGCTTAAGGAATTGGTGATATGGATTTTTAGGTGTGACAGTGATATGTGATTATGGTTAAAAGAAAAAAAAAGGAAAGAACTGATTCATACTGTCCATGATTTGCTTTAGAATAATACTGGGGGAATTAGGTCAGGATTAAGCAAGATTGCCCATGATTTAATGTTTTTGAAAGGTGACTTATTAGTATATATAGTTTCATTATATTCTTCTGCATAATGTTTGTATAAGCTTGAACACTTTCCATAAAAATAACCAAAAATTAAGTAGATTCTCATTGCAGATTGAGTAGGCTACAGAGCCACCAAACATAACGATCATTCCTTCCCCAACATCCCTTCGTTCTTCCTCAGTTTTGAGATCATCCAGTCCCTGAACTGCTCTTTGTTTCTTCCAGTTGACAGGCTGAACGTGCTAGAACAGCTCACTGCACTGATGCTGCCCTGGGGCTGTGATGTGCAAGGCAGCCTGACCAGCCTGTTGAAACATTTGGAGGAGGTCCCACAACTCGTCAAGCTTGGGTTGAAAAACTGGAGACTCACAGATACAGAGATTAGAATTTTAGGTAGGTACACAAATATCGAGCCAAGATAAATGGATTTGGCCCTTAAAAAGTTCTTGAGTTGGCTTTGCTTATTTTGCCCCCTTATTTTATTTTGCTTCCTCTTTTTTTAAAAATATAAGTATGTCTAAGGAATTCATTCATGTTAGAGTAAGAAGACTTAAAACACCGGCCTTCCTTCAGGTTGTAAGCCCTTTACCTACAGAATTAAATGGAAAGCATTCACAGTATCCAATAAGATGTATTATATTAGTCATAGTTCTTACTAGCCTTAACTTTCTGAAATTCAGCAACGCCCCTCCCTCCAATATCAGGAAATATTTTCAAGTTACTTATTGGGTATTCAACACTATATATAAAGGTGAATGTAGCTGTATCTAAATAGAGTCACAAAATATCTTTAAATAACTGTAATATTATCCAGAAACAAATAGATCTATATAAATGACTGAAGACACCACCAACCTCAGGCAGTTGATGAAAGAAGCCCTCATACTATCTGCATTAGTTTTCAATCTGTGCATAACATATGGCCTCAAAACATAATGGCTTAAAACAATAACCATTATCTCACAGTTTCTGTGGTTCAGGAACTTGGGAGTTCAGCAGGTTAGCTCTGGCTTGACCTCTCTCATGAGAGGGGCTGCTGGAGGATGTCCTTCCAAGGTAACTTCTCACATGGTTGGCAAGTTAACACTGGCTGTTGGCTGGAGGCCTCACTTCCTCATCACTAGACCTCTTCACAGGCTGTGAGTGTCCGCACAGCACGGCAGCCCACTCATTTCTGGTCACTTCTGACATATCCCACTGGTTGCACAAGTTATTCCAATCCAGCATATGGAAACATGAATACAAAGAGGTCAGGCTCATCAGGGTCAACTTGGAGGCTATCATACTAAAGCCAAGGACTTATGAAGACAGCCTCTATCACCTTCATTTCTCTTAGAGATTGTCTAGAATGTGTTTAGTTTATGTAACATACAATTTATTATTTAAACTTTTTTTTTGTTTTTTGTTTTTTTTAGACGGAGTCTCGCTCTGTCGCCCAGGCTGTAGTGCAGTGGTGCGATCTTGGCTCACTGCAAGCTCCGCCTCCTGGGTTCAGGCCATTCTCCTGCCTCAGCCTCCCGAGTAGCTGGGACCACAAACGCCTGCCACCACGCCTGGCTAATTTTTTTTTTTTTTTTTTTTTTTGTATTTTTAGTAGAGACGGGGTTTTACCGTGTTAGCCAGGATGGTCTCCATTTCCTGACCTCATGATCCATCCGCCTCGGCTTCCCAAAGTGCTGGGATTACAGGTGTGAGCCACCGTGCCTGGCCACATTTAAACTGTTTTTAAGTGTAAAAGCTTTGTGGCATTAAGTACATTCATATTATTGTGCCACCATCACAACATCCATCTCCAGAGCTTCTTCATCTTCCCCAACTAAAATTCTGTACGCATTAAACATTAACTCCCATCTGCTGCTCTTTTTAGAACCTTCTTTCCTGGAGATTCGTACCTAAGTCCTTAGGCTGCCCGAGGGTTTGCCTTCCTAATGGTGCTTCAAGTTCTGGATCTTTCCTTCCTTTAATTCCTAACTTCACTTCCATCCACTCCTTCAACCCATTAACTCACATCATTCTGGTGTCATTCCTTCAGGCCCTTCCTCTATTTTAGGTTATATTAGAGTCAGGTGGCTTCTGTGACAGGCTAATTAGCTAGCTGATAAATAATCCCTCTTAGGTAACCTCATACCTTAAGTGAGTTGGAAAGGATGTGTCTTTTCCAAGAGGCCCTTAGAGAATATATAGATTTAGAATTCATGTTGGGGAGGCGTTTTTAGGTTGAGGTTTTTTAGCATCCTTTAAATCTTTAGGTAGCTGCCTACTTTGTCCACTCCCAAGGCTGGCCATTGAGACCAGAGAAGGAGATGGTGTGCTTAATGAAATAAAAACTGAGCTAGGCAATAATTTGTAATTTGACTTTATTTTTATTTATTTGTTGAGACGGAGTCTCGCACTGTCTCCCAGGCTGGAGTGCAGTGGCTTGATCTTGGCTCACTGCAAGCTCTGCCTCCCCGGTTCAAGTGATTCTCCTGCCTCAGCCTAGTAGCTGGGATTACAGGCATGCTCCACCACCTGGCTGATTGTTGTATTTTTAGTAGAGATGGGCTTTTGCCATGATGGCCAGGCTGGTCTCAAACTCCTGACCTCAAGTCATCCACCAGCCTCGGCCTCCCAAAGTGCTGGGATTACAGGCAAGAGCCTCACCAGGCCCTCAGTTTTTTTAAAAAAAGAATTTGTGAACCGGGCATAGTAGCTTACACCTGTAATCCCTGTGCTTTGGGAGGCTGGGGTGGGAGGACTGCTTGCGGCCAGGGGCTCAAGAGCAGCCTGAGCAACACAGGCAGACCCCGTCTGTACAAAATACTTTTTAAAAAAATTTGGCCGGGCGCGGGGGCTCAAGCCTGTAATCCCAGCACTTTGGGAGCCCGCGGCGGGCGGATCACGAGGTCAGGAGATTAGGACCATCCTGGCTAACACGGTGAAACCCCGTCTCTACTAAATATACACAAAATTAGCCGGGCGTGGTGGCAGGCGCCCAGCTACTCCGGAGGCTGAGGCAGGAGAATGGCCTGAACCCGGGAGGCGGAGCTTGCAGTGAGCCGAGATGGCGCCACTGCACTCCAGCCTGGTCGACAGAGCGCGACTCTGTCTCAAAACAAACAAAAAAAATTAGCTGGGAGTGTTGGCACATGCCTGTAGTCCTAGCAATTTAGCAGACTGAGGAGGGAGACAATCCCTTAAGCCCAGGAAGTTAAGGTTGTTGTGAGCTATGCTCGTGCCACTGCACTCCAGCCTGGGTGACAGAGTAAGACCCTGTCTCTTAAAAAAGAAAAAAAAAAAAAGGCAATTCAGTAAGAAGATATAATCATTATATACACACACACACACATACTATACCCACACATATATATACACACACATACATGTATATACACACAGACTACACACACACACACACACACATATATGCCCCCAACACTGGAGAACCTACATATATAAAGCAAATATTGTTAGAGCTAAAGAGAGACATACAACCCAATACAACAATAGCTGGAGACTCAACACCCCATTTACAGCATTGGACAGATCTCCCAGACAGAGAATCAACAAAGAAACATCAGACTTAATCTGTACTATACACCAAATGGACCTATGAGATATTTATAGAGCATTTCTTCCAACAGCTGCAGAATACACATTCTTCTCCTTAGCACATGGATTATTCTCAAGGATAGACCACATGTTAGGCCACAAAATAAGTCTTAAAAAATCGCCCCACATTGAAATCTGATTCAAATATCTTCTTTTACCATAATAGAATAAAACTAGAAACCAATAACCAGAGGAACTTTGGAAACTATACAAACATATGGAAATTAAACAGTATGCTCTGGAATGACAAGTGTGCCAATGAAGAAATTCAGAAGGAAATTGAAAAATTTCTTGAAATAGGCTGGGTGTGGTGGCTCATGACTATAATCCCAGCACTTTGAGAGGCCAAGGTGGGAGGACTGCTTGAGCCCAGAAGTTTGAAACCAGCCTGGGCAATATGCTAACATGTCATCTCTACAATTAAAAAAAAAAAATATATATATATATATATATAGATAGATAGATAGATAGATAGATAGATAGATAGATATTTAAAATTTCTTGACACAAATGAAAATGGAAACACAACATACCAAAACCTATGGGATACAGTGAAAGCAGTATGTTCCTTCCTTCCCTCCCTCCCTCTCTCCCTCCCTCCCTCCCTCCCTTCCTTCCTCCCTCCCTCCCTCACCCCCTCCCTCCCTCACCCCTCTCTTTCTCTCTTTGAGACAGGGTCTCCCTGTTGCCCAGGCTGGAGTGCAGAGATGTGATCACAGCTCACTAGCCTTGAACTTCTGGGCTCAAAGGATCCTCCTTCCTCAGCCATCCAAGTAGCTGGGACTAGAGGCAATTATGCTCTGCTAATGGACCTTCCTCTTCAACGACCTTACCTTCCATTCTCCTTCATCCATTCATTCTATGAGCATGCAATGACTAGATTATGATAAGCCACTTAAAATTGTTCTACCTGCAAAATAATAAATGCAGATATCCCATTCTCAAACCACAACCTCCTGTATTTCTAGCCACTCCTAATCACCAGTTCTTTTACTTCACTGGGACTTCCAGTCCGTCGATCCCACTACCTTCTACCTATTTTTCAGGCCCTTTCTATTTTGACTTGCCTTCCTACCTAGTTTCAACTCCATCTTCCATCCCTGCAAACATTCTTGTCTTTAACAGCTGAAATTCTCATGGCCCACAGTAGCATGAGTCAGTTCAGGCAATGACTTTGAGTGATGGATGTGTGATAGATGCAATGGTGAAATGAAGAGTATAATGAGAGATAGAGTCTAATTAAAGAAAGACTACCTAATGAGATGCAGGGAGAACATGAGATGTGGAATGTGAGGTATGAAATGAAATACAGTAGATGGGGTGTACTTTCCTGACAAAACTCCAGGCCTGGATTGTCCTTAAATTTCCCTTTTTAGAATTTCATAACTACACTCAGGATGCAGGGGAAAAACTGCAAACTTTGGGAGATAAATACAAGTTCATGCTGGCAAATTTCAACGAAAATATTTAGAAGTGAATGGTAAGAAATGCTGTATATCAAAACTTGTGGCATGCTGCAAAAGGCAGCAAAAAAGAGTAACTTCACAGTGGAGAAAGCTGTTGACACTGCCTCGGTCAGGTGAACAAGGTCAACATTAACAGTGGTAATTCATGTTGATAGTATGTACCTAGATATGACATGACAAAAATAGTACTTTACCTCTATGATCTTCCTCCCCAAAGATCCATATCCCCCATCTAATGATGATAAAAACATCAAACAATCCTAAATGAGGGACTTCTACAAAAAACTGACCAGTATTCCTTGAAACTGTCAAGGAAATCAAAACCGAGGTGATTGTGAGAAATTGTCATAAGCATGAGGAACCTAAAGAGACATGACGATGAAATGTAATGTGCTAACCTGGATGAGTTCCTGCAACAGAAAAAAAGACATTTGGTCAAAACTAAGGAAATCTGGCTGGGTGCGGTGGCTCACGCCTGTACTCCTAGCACTCTGGGAGGACGAAGTGGGCAGATTGCTTGAGCCTAGGAGTCCGAGCCCAGTCTGAGCAACATGGCAAAACTCAATCTCTAAAAAATTAACTTGGTGTGGCAATGTACGCCTGCAGTCCCAGCTACCTGGCAGGCTGAGGTGGTAGGATGGCTTGAGCTCAGGAAGTTGAGGCTGCAGTGAGCTGTGATCATGCCACTGCATTGCAGCTTGGGTGACAGAGTGACACCCAGTCTCAAAAAAAAAAAAAAAAAAAAAAAAAAGAGAGAGAGAGAGAGAGAAAGAGAAAATACAACCTACAGAATGTGAAAAAAAATTTGCCAATCACATTATCTGATAAAGGACTTCCATCTTGAATATATAAAAAACTCTTATGGCCGGATGCCATGGCTCATGCCTGTAATACCAGCACTTTGGGAGGTCAAGGCGGGTGGATCACAAGGTCAGGAGTTCGAGACCAGCCTGGCCAATGTGGTGAAACCCCGTCTCTACTAAAAATACAAAAAAAAATTAGCCAGGCGTGGTGGCACATGCCTGTAATCCCAGCTACTCGGGAGGCTGAGGCAGAAGAATGGCTTGAATCTGGGAGGCGGAGGTTGCAGTGAGTCGAGATCGCACCACTGCACTCCAGCCTGGGTGACAGAGCGAGACTTCATTTCAAAAAAAAAAAAAAAAAAAAAAAACCACAGAAAACAAAACAAAAAACTCTTACAACTCACTGATAAAAATACAAATAACCCAATTTGTAAAATGGGCAAGAATCTGAACAGACGTTTCACCAAGGAAGATATTTAAACCGCAAAATAAATACCAGAAAACATAATCAATATCATTAGGGTAATAATGTAAACCAAAAGTACAATGAGATACCACCTGAGACCCACTAGGGATGGTTATTATTTTTCATTAAAAGATATACAATAACAAGTGTTGTTGGCAAGCATATGGAGACATTGGAATCTTCATACGCTGGTAGTTGAGCTCAGGAAGTTGAGGTTGCAGTGAGCTGTGATCATGCCACTGCATTGCAACTTGGGTGACAGAGTGACACCCAGTCTCAAAAAAAAGAAAGAAAGGGAGGGAGGGAGGAAAGAAGGAAGGAAAGGAAGGAAGGAAGGAAGGAATACCAGCACTTTGGGAGGTCAAGGTGGGTGGATCACAAGGTCAAGAGTTCAAGACCAGCCTGGCCCACATGGTGAAACCCTGTCTCTACTAAAAATACAAAAATTAGCCAAGTGTGGTGGCATATGCCTGTAATTCCAGCTACTCGGGAGGCTGAGGCAGGAGAATTGCTTGAAACTGGGAGGTGAAGGTTTCAGTGAGCTGAGATCGCACTACTGTACTCCGGCCTGGGATACAGAGTGAAACTCTGTCTTGAAACAAACAAACAAAAAACAACGAATAAACACAATCTCTCTCAATATTTCCTGGCAATCTTACTGTGTTTCTGTATTCAACACTCTATGTAAACTATTTCACACTTTTTTCTCCTCAATCAGTACTCAGCGTCTCCTATTTCACAGAGGATGTGCTTGTTATTTTTTCTCTCCTTCTCCTGTGGAGCTGATAGTAGGTTTCTCTTCTCCTACCTAAGCACAGTATCTTTAGCAGTGCTTGAGATGCCAGCCTCACCCTCACTCCGGTTCAGGGACATCATTTTATTGATTGTGCCTCTTGTTACTGGCTCCCTCCTGTCAGTTTTTAAAGTTGCTCAAATCTCTTCCATTTTTTTTTTTTTTTTTTTTTTGAGACGGAGTCTCGCTCTGTCGCCCAGGCTGGAGTGCAGTGGCCGGATCTCAGCTCACTGCAAGCTCCGCCTCCCGGGTTCACGCCATTCTCCTGCCTCAGCCTCCCGAGTAGCTGGGACTACAGGCGCCGCCACCTCGCCCGGCTAATTTTTTGTATTATCTTAGTAGAGACGGGGTTTCACCATGTTAGCCAGGATGGTCTCGATCTCCTGACCTCGTGATCCGCCCGCCTCGGCCTCCCAAAGTGCTGGGATTACAGGCTTGAGCCACCGCGCCCGGCCATCTCTTCCATTTTAAATAAAACTCTCCCTGAGTCCTATCTTCCTCCTTTGGTTATCATTCTCTCTCTCCTCTCCTTCAAGGTAAAAGCTCTAAAACAAATTTGATGTACCCTTATGACATCTCCACTTCCTGACCATCTGCTACTTCCTACTCATTGCATGACTCTCTACAACCCTCCAATGTGGCTGAATTTCAATAGACACTTTCAGAAGTGTTTAATTTACTTGATTCCTCTGCAGGAGTTGACACTGAGCACTCACTTCTTTTCAAAACATTCTCTTGACCTCCATGCCACCTTGGCTACTTCTCAGTCTTCTTTTCAATGGCGATTCCTCTACCCAGATATTAAATGTTCCTAGTTTTCCTTAAAGCTTGGTCTAGACTATCTGGTCTTCTTCCTCAGAGATTGCATTTGATCTCCGAGCTTTGCCTGTTTTGCTCGACTCCCAAAATTTTGTTTCTTACCCATCAGCAATCTGAGACTACAACATAAAAATCATTGCTAGCTCAGGTATCTATTTCACCTGCTTTTTTGTTTGTTTTGTTTCAGGCTGGAGTGCAGTGGCGCGATCTTGGCTCACTGCAACCTCTGCTTTCCGGGATTCTCTGTTCTCTATCTGCTTCTCCGAATCTCAAGTGATTTTCCTGCCTCAGCCTCCTGAGTAGCTGGGATTACGGGTCCATGCTGCCACACCAGCTAATTTTCGTATTTTTAGTAGAGACGGGGCTTCATCATGTTGGCCAGGCTGGTCTCAAACTCCTGACCTCAAGTGATCTGTCTGCTTCGGCCTCCCAAAGTGCTGGGCTTACAGGCATGAGCCACCACTCCCAACCAATTTAACCTGCTCTAACAAAATCCTTTGTTAAATGGCATCTTTCAACTTGGATGTTCAAAGCTGAACTCTGCTATCCAGCCTGTTCTCAAAAAGAGAGCTCATGCCTGTAATCCCAGCACTTTGTGAGGCCGAGGTGGGTGAAGTCAAGAGTTCAAAAAACACTTGAAGTCAAGAGTTCAAAACCAGCCTGGCCAACATGGTAAAACCCCGTCTCTACTAAAAATACAAAAATTAGCTGGGCATAGTGCACATACCTATAATCCCAGCTACATGGGAGGCTGAGTTGGGAGGATCACTTGAGCCAGGGGGGTAGAGTTTGCAGTGAGCTGAGATCACGCCACTGCACTCCAGCCTGGGCGACAGAGCCAGAACCTGTCTCAAAAAAAGAAAAAAAAAAGAAGAAAAAAAAAAGAGCCATCACAGACCCTGTTCATGTTCTAGAAGCTCATGTTCTAGAAGTGCCTAAATCCTGGGTGCAATCATTCTGCTGTATAGATCCCACTATCATATTTTATTTTCCAAAAGCTCTTTCTTAGCATCTTGTTGTTGAGTAGATGCAGTCTACTGAAAAACTTAGGATCTCTGAAAAACTTACGTCTTTGGAGTTTGATTTTTCTTGTTTTCTATGGTGCCTCATTTCTTTGAGAGTTGTTTGGCTTTTAGTCTCAGTCTTCCTTGTGGGAGGCTGTTGTCAAATGTCTGGTAATCCTGTACTGTCCTCTTCACATTTGAGAGTGAGACACAAGTTGATAGGGAGTTCTGTGTCTAAGGGAGGCAGTGATTTTTTGACAGGCTAACTTCACTAGGGGGTGATTGGGCAAGCAAAATGGCCCCTTCTTTGTAGGGCCTTTTCCTGGGGAGCAGTTCCATTTCTCCTAAGAATCCTCCAGTCTTCCTCCTGGAGCATATAAGCTCAGTTGCAAGTGTTCTGGGAACAAAGTGGAGTGGGAAAGCCTATTACTTTTGTGTGCTCCCAGGGTACCCTGACCTACCATAGCACCACCAGCCATCTAATTACTTGATAATGCATGTCTTCACACTGTTTTGTAAGCCCAATGAGATAGGGACCACATCTGTCGTTTGCACATATCCTCAGCACCCAGCATAATCCGCGGCACATAGTAGCACTAAAGATGTTGCTGAATGAATAAACAGTGAGAGCTCTGGTACTGGTTCAGGTGAGCCACAGGACAATACAAACAAGAGTTGTGTTTGGGATACAGGAACCCCCAAGAATCAGAAGCCTTCTACCCAGGGCATTTGAGATTTCTCCTGGAATTCTAATCAAGCCATTTGCACTCTACACAGCCCACATACAGCCTATGGCTCTAAATGTCATAGATTCTGTTTCTCTCGGATCTATTCTGCTCCTCATAACATAAGCAGTGCAGATTAAATGAACAAAAGGCATGCCCTTGGCTTATGACAAATATTGTTTGTTCTTGGTTCCTGCACTAGCACACATTCTAATAATTATCTAAGAAACTCTCTTAAATTGATGATAAGATCCTTATACCTTAGTAGATAATCAGTATAAATTGCTCACCCTCTGAGGGTGGAATGGGCTTTAAATTCTTTTTAAATTCCTTTTAGGTGGTGAAAATATATTCTGCTAGCTGAGAAGGAGAAAAAAGTTGATCTTTGGGGAAGGAGCTTTAAATAGACACACAACTGGCAACCAGCATTTGGACTGAGTGCATGCCATGCTGGGAAGCATATGGAGGAGGGGCAAAGGCAGAAAGGACATGAAGATGAGATGGAAGAGAGAGCAGGGAGAAAGCCACCCTCCAAGGAACAGAGGAGGAAGGAGGGGAAAGCGAGGACCTATGTAGTATTTGGGCTGGGCACAGGCTAAGCTATGATAACAGAGACCCAGCTATACCATGGCTTACGGAAGGTAGAACTTGATTCTCTCTCATGTAACAGTCCAGAAATGAGCAGTCCAGGCAGGTGGGGTGGTTTTCCTCTCTGCAGTCTTTCAGGTCCAGATAACTCCTCTATTCCTTAGAGTGTTATTTTTGGCTTTATGGCCATAGCTAGGTCACTGCTCTGTGATCATTTCAACCTAGCAGAAGAGGGGAAAAGCAGAAAAGTGACATGGAAGTTGCACACATCACTTCTGCCTATACTTCCTTGGCAAAAATTTAGCCACACCTAACAGCAAGGGAGGCTGGGATATGAGTGGCCATATGCCCAAATAAAACCCTGTAACTAAGGAAGAAGAGAGAGTTTTGGGAACAACTAGCAGTCTGTCTCACTTTTCTTTTCTTTTCTTTTTTTTTTTGAAATGGAGCTTCGCTCTTGTTACCCAGGCTGGAGTGCAATTGTGTGATCTCTGCTCACCGCAACCTCCGCCTCCTGGGTTCAAGTGATTCTCCTGCTTCAGCCTCCCAAATAGTTGGGATTACAGGCATGCACTACCACGCCCGGCTAATTTTGTATTTTTAGTAGAGACGGGGTTTCTCCATGTTGGTCAGGCTGATCTTGAACTCCTGACCTCAGGTGATCCGCCCACCTTGGCCTCCCAAAGGGCTGGGATTACATGTGTGAGCCACTACATCCGGCCTCTGTCTCACTTTTCAAATAAATAAAAGCAGCAAAGAAGGCCCAAAGGTGGTGTCAGTGACACTGACCATGGGTAAGAGACATGAAGGCAGAACCCTGTGAATCATCTCCTTACCTGGCTTTGCCCACTTTAGCCGCTAGCATCTTGACCACGGTCAGGCAGGGTTAATCACTTTAGGTGTCTGTAAAGAAGAACCTGAAGAGCTTTCAAAACTCAAGACCTTATGATGGTGATGAAAACATTGGCTGACATAGACTAAAGACACATACTAGAACGTACTTAGTTGCACTGAACTAACTACAAAAGGCCACACAGTGACATCAGACACGAAACTCACAGATCTCCTCACTACGGAGCTGGTAAACACACTTACTGAAAGTGGGTAAAGGTACAGTTTCAGTGCATAACTAGGTTGACCTCACCCAGGTAAGCTGGTCAGACAAGACTGTCCATTTCTGTCATTAAGCCCTCATTACTGGTAGCAGATAGCTTTTAGTCTTTGCTTGCTAACCTTAAGATTGTACAGCACTGAACCTTTCCTTCTTTAACTTCAACTCTTTAGTGGTCTCACTGAGACAATGGAAAGGAACTTTTAAAACCTCTTTTCCTACTTGGAATCCAAAGTGAATCATGGACCTTCATTTCCATAAGGGTCAGTTTCTGGAACATTATCTAATATTACACATCTCCCAAGAAACACAAAGAAAAAAGTTTAATATACAACAAATTAACCCTTCAAAGTTGGGTGAGGTACACTAAGACTAAGATGAGCTCAGAGGAGCTGAGTAATATAGATCGATAAGCCAGGCATACATCTTCTGCAATTTGTGTGTGATACTCTGGAATATAAACATGTAAGTAATAGAGTTCCCTTGTCCAGTCTGCCTGACTGTCCACTCTGTACTTCAAGGTGAACTTAGTCATCCAGAGAAGGCCAGGTAGGTGGGTAGGGCTAACGCTTTGCATAATTTAATATGCATAATTAACAGAGCTAGCTTTGTGAAATCCTAATGTTGTATACTGGCCAATCTGCATGATGGTACATGACTTGAAAGAAAGGTATTTTTTCTTATTGCAAGACTCACTTGAGTTCCAGTACCATTTAAACTAGTAACATGGGATAAAGAATGAAACTAAATTATTTGTGTGTGTGTGTATGTACACACATACATACAAAGGAGATATGTGTGTGTGTGTGTGTGTGTATGCATTCTTTGTATATCAGAAAGACAGAATATCCACCTACCCTCTGTAGGAAATACTTTAGGTGCCCTATTCTGTAAGGAATGGAGGAACTTCCTGAAGAGGCTTGGGAGGTTTACATATAAACAGATAAACAAAAACACCCAAATCTTTAGATACTGAAGGAGGCTCACTTACTCAAGTTTACAGTTAGGAACATACCCAAAGAAACAACAGTTAGGTAGTGTTTACTGCTTCAGAAGAGGAAACGACCTAATATTGCCAAAGATTGACTCGTTTTGAAAACAAGTACTGAATATTTAATTGCATCTCACACACATCAATTTTAAAGCAAACTTTCATTTCCTAGGAATAAGGAAAAGGGAAAAAAATGTAATTCATTTATATATTGTTGCTACCTCACTATGAATCACTATTTATCAGATTCCCTTATACTCTAGGAAAATATAATTTGTAAATATAATAGACCATATTCACAATCACTGCCCTAGCTATAGAGAATTATATTAATAATTTGTTTCTGAGGCAAAGCACTAGTTCAAACATGACCATTTCAAAGTGGAAAAAAAAGTATGTAAAATAAATGTAGAACCTATTTCTCTTTTTTTTTAAAAAAATTTTTCTTCCAACTAATATACTTATTTCTTTACCCAGGTGGATTTTTTGGAAAGAACCCTCTGAAAAACTTCCAGCAGTTGAATTTGGCAGGAAATTGTGTGAGCAGTGATGGATGGCTTGCCTTCATGGGTGTATTTGAGAATCTTAAGCAATTAGTGTTTTTTGACTTCAGTACTAAAGAATTTCTACCTGATGCAGCATTAGTCAGAAAACTTAGCCATGTGTTATCCAAGTTAACTTTTCTGCAAGAAGCTAGGCTTGTTGGGTGGCAATTTGATGATGATGATCTCAGTGTTATTAAAGGTGCTTTTAAACTAGTAACTGCTTAAATAAAGTGCACTCGAAGCCAGTAAGTGCTCTGGGACCTCATTACTTTAAGCCTGGTGGTTAAAAAATCTTGCAAAAGGATGCCAAAGAAGGTAAGGAAGTGGAAAGAAGTTTAATTTGATGATTAAAAACATGCAACAGGCCGGGCGCGGTGACTCAAGCCTGTAATCCCAGCACTTTGGGAGGCCGAGACGGGCGGATCACGAGGTCAGGAGATCGAGACCATCCTGGCTAACACGGTGAAACCCCGTCTCTACTAAAAATACAAAAAACTAGCCGGGCGAGGTGGCGGGCGCCTGTAGTCCCAGCTACTCCGGAGGCTGAGGCAGGAGAATGGCGTAAACCCGGGAGGCGGAGCTTGCAGTGAGCTGAGATCCGGCCACTGCACTCCAGTCCGGGCTACAGAGCAAGACTCCGTCTCAAAAAAAAAACCAAAAAACAAAAAACAAAAAACAAAAACATGCAACAGTTTTGTGTCTTAGCTCTCCTACTAGGATTATTGGCTCCTTGAAGGAACTCTCGTTCATCTTTGTGTTACCTTTGGTCTGGGTCACACCAACTGGTGTACTGAATGCATATTAACTTACTATAATGCCTGGCATGTAACAGATTCTCAACAATATTCTCAATAAATATTTGTTGAATATGAGATGATTAAATTATTAATAAATAGCTACTGAATAAAGAAACAAAGATTATTTAAAATCAGAGAGGAAACTCCATATATGTTCTTTAATCCAAACAGTTTAATTCAAACAATCTGGAATGTAAAAAGCACTTTCTGATATTAGGAGATTAGACTCCCAAAAAAGATCAGCATTCTTCAGTCAAGCAAAACTTGGCAGTTTACAAACAGCTAAATCAGAGGCTTGAAATTCAGGTCCTCTCCAGTACCTGCTACATTATATGTAATTCCAAACATGACTTCAGAGATTAAAGAAGAAAGGGAAAATGTTTCCCATACTTTTGTACCCTATATAAACTAAGGGTACCCTGCCCTAATCTTTTTTCCAACACTTCTCCAAATAACCCTTCCTTGCAAAGAAAGAAGTCTAAGAAAACTCTCTGATCTAAATATATTTAAGTAGAGGCAAGCCTGAAAAAAACACAAAAACCTAAATGGTGTTAGGCTGCGGTTTGCCTATTCTCACGGCACCTCAAATTAATGGCTTGGGTGTTGGTGTAGGTAACACTTGGCCTGTATGTTGAGGTAGTCACTAGATAAAATTCTGGGCACAACATCTGTTTAGCAATTGGGCACATATTCTACAGATTGAGCCATAACGTTTTGAAGCTGATAGTTTACAGATCAACTAATTAATTCCTGTCCCTAACTTTACAGATGAGAAAGCTCAGATGATTTGTCCATGGGTTATAAAACTACTTCCTTACACAGTGGCAGCATCAGAACTGGAATTCAGATCTCTTGCCTCCTAGGCAATGTTTTTCCCATTATAAATATGGTGACTTCGTAAAGCAGGGTTAATTACACTCCACGGAGCTTACATCTTAATCACAAACAATGGGACAAATATTTAAATTGAACTTCTTTCTCTGTCTAGCTTCAAGTGATTCTGTGGCAAGATTTACTAGTAAGGCTGCTGCCTATATGCCTATGCTGGGCAAGTTCCTTATTTTCATATCCAGAAGTTAGTCAGAGCTTGGCAAATAAGGCTTCTCTATATAATAACGCATGGGCCAATGCCCCCTGTAACATCTTACATTCAGGAAGTAGGGCCAATTCTTTCATAACTCACAGGCAACTGTGAGTGTCCTTTCTCAAATAGTGAAGGTAGGTATTAAAGCACCTTTGGTGGGACAGATGCACAGGTGTTGCCTCTGAATTGGTGTTGAGGAAGTAGGCATAAAACCTCACACAGAACTGTGTTTGGTACCTAAACACTTTAAAATCCTATGGGGATGGGGAAGACATGCATGGGGTGGCAGCACATACCTCTTAACTCAGGACATGGCAGTTCAGATTTCATGCATGACCCTAATTCACATTTAGTTGAGATCAATGAAGGAAGAAGAATCATCCTGTAATAGCAGACCAACAACAGACACAGTAATAGTTGGAAAACATAAGACAAAGGCCAGGGAACAGTTTGCCTTATTACATTTTACAAAGTATCATTTTCCCCAGTAGTCAAGGTAGCCTAGGCTGTATTTCTTCAGCAGGTCACATGCCTGAACAGGGTTGTAGATGTCAAAGATAATGATCAACTCCTCACTAAGAAAAAGGTATTTAGGACACGGTCACTTATTACCACAGATGACAATTCTGCTTGACAGAGATGGCTTCTTGGATGTTTTTAATCCACAGTGAAGAAAAAGGATTTCAAAGTGCTGCTCCTATTTGAAAGTGAAGGAATTGACTGAAGAAACTGTTGCAAATTCTAGAAAAACAAAAATCTTCTCTAGATAGCTGGCTGATGGCTGGATAAGTCATAAATCTCCAGGAGCACTGGATTCCAGGAAAGTTGAGTCCATTCTCAAAATCCCTTTTTAAAACTGTTACGGAATGCATAATAAAATAAAACAATAAAAAACCCTTCTAGGTCATGTGTGACTGCTGCTTGTTATACTTTTTGGAAGTAATACTAGCCATGTTAGAAAGTCGTTAAACTCTGCATTTGGAAAACAACTAAAAAGTAACATAATCTATGTAATTCTCACACTTCATCACAGTTAACAATTCCCCATTTTTGACAAAGTAAAAGAAAAAGAAACTGTCCACTGCAGACCTAACAATGCTGTATTCTATAATCTAAGGTCCATTATGCTTTGGTAAAATTATATTTGCTCAAATTCTTTGTGCAACTTGAAAAGACATCAAATTCCATATTATGTATGGAACTCTGTGTTTTGGTAATATATTTGATATATTTTGTTAATAAAATAAGAAATTAAAAAGCCAATGAATGAAAATGCGTCAGAAAAGATAAATTCATTATGTCAGTATTTGATTAAATCTAACATAGAAAATTGGGATTCTTTCACTGCATATCACCAAAAGTTGGGTAGTCACTTAATCAAAATAAAACACCTAGAACCATGGACTATTTACAAATATACTAAAATTTTTAAAGGAGAGAAACTTTAACAAAAATCTTGATAATTAAAAATTCAAATTGTGCTAGATAGAATGCATTCCAAAATTGCTGCTAAAAATGTTTGCTTTTAGTTTGTAAGACATAATTCAGGAGAACCTAAAAGAAAAATGTAGCAATTAAGTTTGGAAAAGCTATAAAAGAGACTTTTACTTTTTGAACAGACATTTTTTCCTTTCCCAAAATGTGTATTAGTCAAGAAGCATGTTTATAAATTTCACTGAAGAAAATATCGGCCAGGCGCAGTGGCTCACACCTAATCCCAGCACTTTGGGAGGCTAAGGTGGGTGGATCATGAGGTCGGGAGTTTGAGACCAGCCTGGCCAACATGGTGAAATCCCCCATCTTTACCAAAAATACAAAAATTAGCTGGGCGTGGTGGCAGGTGCCTGTAATCCCAGCTACTCGGGAGGCTGAGGCAGGAGAATCACTTGAAACCCGGAGGCAGAGGTTGCAGTGAGCCGAGATCATACCACTGCATTCCAGCCTGGGTGACAGAGTAAGACTCCATCTCAAAAAACAAAACAAAACAAAAACTAAGGAAACCTTAATAAAGTACAGCCTTAAGTTAATAATAATGTATTGGCCGGGCACGGTGGCAGAGCAAGACTCCGTCTCGGAAAAAAAAGAAATATCGTATCTTAGTAATGTGACAGATCCACTCCATCAAGTGGCTCTTATAAAGGTAAGGTCACATCACACTGCAGTCAACTACAAAACCAAAGATACCAAAATCCAAATTTAAAGAAACACATTTTCTAAAGGAAGCCTATTTAAAGCCTTTAACATTTACGAGGATTTCACTGTCACAAATACATTTTACAAAAATATAATTTCATAGGTTTCATGAAATGTGAACAAGCTTACTATTATCTAACATTTAGAGTAAATGATTAAACAGTCAATGCAAAGTTGGATTACTAAATAAATTGGAAGCCAAGGAGTCAATATTCCTCATAAAAATAAGTTAGAGTCCATCATGGTCTTGGTTGTCCAATTCTATTATTAGTTCCATATCTACTTGGTATATTTGTAAAACCAGTCCTCAATCCTTGAGTTGCTCCGATTCCTGGAACTCCAAGTCCTTGATTAAGCATGTTGCTGTAAGGTGTATGTCCATGATTGAGACCAAAACCATAAGGCCTTGTTTGTGTGTTCAGAAGAATAACTGGGTTCACATTTTTCCCAGGAGTATTAAATGAAAATTCTGGAGGTGGACTACTAGGTTTAGCTGGAGTTGATGTAACTGGGTTCAAATCATCAGCACCCTTTAAAAGAGGCATTGGGATTATGTGATGATCTGAAAAGTTTAGGACATTGGCTGCCACAGGCCCAGACAATAAGGCAGGCCTAATCCAGTCATCCTTGAAAATTTGAACAGTCAGAGTAGACACTAGAGTGTACAGCCTGTTGGTCACATGAGCAAGAACCATTTGTTCATTAGCATCTCGTCGAATTCTTACATGCACTGATCCAGCCTAAAAGGGGCAAAATCATAAGAAAGAGATTGCTTAGAATTATACTAATGAAAATTTCATTAGATAAAACATTTTATTTACGATTTGGTAAGTTCCTGGCATTTTCTTTGAAAGAGAAAGCTTAATGTTAATATTTCTTAAAGACTACTTGCTGGTGATTATCATTGCAATGAGTTAAATAATTTAACAATCTTTAAAATACAAAAAAAGAAAAATCCATGTAGGAATAAGATAGGCATGTTATAATACAAGGAAGAATAAAAATGAAGCATACAAAAAATAAATTGTAAGAGCCGAAAAGGTAGGTATTAATTTCAATTGAAGAGGACTTCAAAAGAAGATGGCATTTAATCTAGGGTCGGTAATTAAATCGAATTTCAAAAAGTTGAGAGGCATTCCACACTAAGAGAAAAGCAATGAAAATACATGGCATACTTGGTAAGAATAAGCAGTAATACTAATATATAAAGAAGTCCTGGTTGGGCGCAGGGGCTCACATCTGTAATCCCAGCACTTTGGGAGGCCGAGGCGGGTGGATTACCTGAGGTCAGGAGTTCGAAACCAGCCTGGCCAACATGGTGAAGCCCCGTCTCCACTAAAA